CAGCATAACTTCTAAAATAATGCCCCGATTATGCTGATTTTTGAACTCAACCTGCGTTTTAGTAAGACTGACCATTCCTGTGAGTTTCATGACAATAGGCCTAACGGTTTTCCTTAAAATGTGTTTACAAGGTTGCATATATGCTGAAAAGTGAAAAAACAGCATAACTTCTACAATAATGGCCCGATCATGCTGATTTTCGAACTTGACCTGCGTTTTATAAATATTCATCAGCTCTGTAAATATAAAGCCAAAAAGTAAAACTGCCTTCCACTTATCGTGTTTACAAGGAAAGTGCACGGCGACGGCATCGCCATCGGCATCGGCGACGACAGACGCAGGTGATGGCAATATGTACAGACACATCTGTGTCTGTACATAAAAAAGAATCAATTTCATTCAAGTACAATTTCCTTCTGAGCAACTACGAAGTACCATTATTAAATAGAAAAAAGTTTATCGCTTTTCAACTTTTAGATTAAATCCAATTTTTCATCTGTTCTTTTGCCCACCTAGTTTCCCCAGTTTCTGTCTCCATTTGGTTCACCCACGCCTTGTACACCTCGGTAGGATTGGTATTTATGGCCAGCTTACGGTCCTCGATCACCTTAGTTACCAGTGGGTTCAGCAGCTCTCGGAGAGAAGAGCAGTAACCTCTAGCATTTCTATGGAAAAAAAAAAAGAGAACATTCATGAAATCAATATTCATATCGATTATTAGAATTATGGTAAGAAATCTCAAGTTACACATATCCTCTTTGAGGATGTGTGTTACATTTCCAGGATGGAGACTGTTAACATTTTTGAAAGCATACCAAAATCTAATGCAAAATACATGACAGACAAGGTAGGATGCTGCTCAAATATTATTCAATAACACAACCAGCTCTCCAAATGCATATAATTGAATGAAATTTAATGAAAATGCACGTCACTAATAGGGAACTCACCTGTTGAATGACACAATCATTTTGACTACCAGTGGGTTACCCGTAGCAATATCACTCATCTTGTCCACTTTGGATCTAGAATACAAAAAAAAAAAAGATAAAAAATCACACTCAACCACACAAAAAGATTTCAAGTATTAGAGATTATGAATACATATCTTGTATATCAAAACTGAATATGAGGAAGAATACACGTATCTACACCACATAGATTACTCCTGGTAGATTGTTATTATACATCTTACTATACTTACACTAAGCACAAATACAACAAAGACAGACTTAGTTGCAACCATGCACATTCCTCACAGAGACATCATATTCATGCTTTTTTCTAAGACTAATAATTCTTTTGATCATACTATATCTAAAAGGAATAAGTGTCCAGAAAATAATTTGCTCCTAATGTATGATAAAAAGTCATGCATAAATCAAGTCACTGTTAAATCAAAATTCCACAGATGTTAATTCATGCAACAAATGAACTTAAAACAGAAGCAGGAATGCCTGTACTCCCTTGCAAACTAATATGCAAAGCAGGCATTCTGTAAGACAGCCTGAAAAGCAATGTCTGATGCCTTCTTGATAATATTTTTTAAATCCAAGCAACCACATGGCAACATACAACTGAAGAAGACAACAAAATCTATTACTATTTCATTACAAATCAGCTAAGTTATCACCAGCACTACTTTCATTCACACAGGCTATTTTGAAATGTGTTAGTTTAATTAATATTTCCTTTATATATGGACATTCTATCTACAAACCAAAAGACAATGAACTCAGGGAGATCAGGTTCTACAAGACAAACATCCATTATGCACATATGAACACAATCTACAAACAGAAAGTGACAAATATAACAAGTCGGATCTGAAAACACCTGCAAACTAAATCTAAGGAATGTGAAACAAACAAAACATGAAGAAAAAAAATCACTCACAAAATGCAAGAAGCTTATAAAGAGCAGCTAAAATAAACAAAATACTTACGATCCTCGTCTAAAGAGAATGCACAGAAAAACAAATGTTTAAATAATCAGATAAGAGAGTCAACAAATGTATGTGCACAAAATCATTTTTCAACAAAGCAAAATTGCACATTAAAATGTACCCCATCTAAATCCCAACTGACTAAATGGAAATGATAGACAAAATCAAGAACTGTTCAAGTGCAAACACTCCCCTCTCAATGTCTTATGTGCAATAAAGCAAACAGGCAGCCTCACAATTTTTCAACATTCAACCTGAACATCCATTTTGATTTATTTCACTGATAACATCAACTTTTAGCCAAAAGTCTTGCTCACTTATTTGAGTTCGAAAGTGTCAAAGCTTCATATAAGGAGAGGGGTCTACTGAGAAAGCATGCATCAATAGTAAAAATGCACAAAAGTGTGAAATTCCTGCTGTAGACACTGCTAGGTTGACATTTGCAATTTATATTTATCAAAGCATATTCAAAAGGATGGGCATTAACTAAGCTGTATTGCATATTACCCCAAATCCACATCCAACATTTCAAATACCTTGAACCAGGTAATTATATAAGCACATGAAAACCTCCGACACACAAAATATAGCAAAATTTACAATAAATACCTTATTTCCTCTTCTAACGCAGTCTTGAACAACTTGAGCAGCAGATACTCCTCCCGCTGGTTAGATGCATAGTTATACAGTGTAAGAATAACCGACTCCATGAATTTGGTGGTCCGGCTCTGTGGCATCTCAAAGATCAACTTAGCCAGGTAAGTTGGGTTGGTTTGTAACAGGTAGAACAAGTGCTGGTAGGCCTCGAGTCTTTCCCTGCTCTCTTTGCTCAGAGACTTCAGCCCTTTGCTGACTGCACCTGCAGGGTTTTCTTTGTAGTCTTTGAGTTTTCGGTCATGTGAGATTACATCCTGAAAAAGGAGATTTTCATTTTTAAAAATGCGTAAGTTAAAATTTGCACTTCTCATGCACCCCATTTCTGCAAGCATCTGGAGCCAATTCCTAAATGCAAACATAAAGCGTATTATATTCAACATCACATAAAAGAAATCTATAAATTGGCAAATCATCACAAAAGTTGCCAAATGAAACCAGAATCAACAACCTCTAGCCCTGCCATGCGCCAAATCCACCGCTGAAGCCGAATAACTGAGTTACTGAAAAATGAAAAACATCAAAAAAATATAAATTAATCAAATAATGATATATGCAAGTCAGAATCATTTGCCATGTTGATACACCATGCAGCTATACCTGCTGCCTCTGTGTTAGAAATGGAGCAATGAGGAGAAAAGATGCTGAAGCCATGGCTGGGACTATTGTCTGCAAATACAATCATTATCTACAACTGTAATCTAAAGGTAAACAGTAGGAAAAAACACTGCTATATTAATAGAATACCGAAATATGAATCAACAGAACAAAATGACCACCATATTTTGCTCACAACAAAAATATCCAATCTTTCCCTGTGCATTTTAAAAGACAAATATCAAAATAAATTCCATCTTATCCCCTTACCTGTAGTGTTATTCTGTTCTTCACTAAAAGTCCAATCTTAATGTCCATCTGGTCCAAGTCCTGCTCCAGCTGTTGATTAGAGCGGATAGCTGTCACCACTTGCTGGCGCAGATTCTGGAGTTCTGGAGATAAAGAAATAACATGATACGAAGATGTTGTGGGAATTCTATCTTGCATAGATGACTATCACTCACTCTATAAAACAGATATATTCAATTTAAGCATCACAGCAATTATTTTCCCAGTCAAAAAGGGTGAAGAACTCTATCTGATAAACCTTTTTCTATTTCTAACTCATCAATTCATAAACAAATTGTTGATCCATGTTTTGTGTAAATTTGTTATATTACCGATCTCTTCACTGTAGTCTATATCACTCTGGTCCAGCAAATGGACAAATTTTCTGACCACACCAACAGGAGGATTCTCAGAGTGCACTGAAATCAAATCATCAAGGTCAATTCATTTTACTGATAGACAAGTGAAACGAAGCAAAACTAAAATCAGAAAATATCTTAACATGAAGATGTTGCTGCCACTACTTTCAAATTGTCTGCAAATCTTAAATTTTCTAAATGTCATAGTAGATCACATATTCTTTGTGTTAAAATTGAATGTATGTTTGTAATTTGGAAAGAGAGAGAACTTACTGAGTTTATTATAGTCCTGTCTGGCCATACTAGATCTCCAGGCTGCTTGAATTTGGACGATCTTGGGTTCCTGAATTCAATTTAAAAATAATGAACAAACTGAACAATTCTTATCTTCAGACTATTTCAGTGATTAAAACTGTTTTAAGACATGTTATGGAAACTCAAACTGTGAAACTTTTAAGTTTTAGTAATTCAACCAAAAAACTTAAAGTGCTGACAGTTTTTTTATTCAATACTATTAGAATTTGTATACAAGCATTCCTCACATTTTTCTTGTAATAGTCTTTCTGTTTTTGGTATTTCTTTCTGGCTTGGTGCATTCTCACTGCAGCTTGGATCTGAAGCAAAAAGACATTATAAATGGTCTATCTACAATGGACTTTGATTTCAAAGTTGCTCATCGCTCTTTTTTTCCGTTTTTTACTTTTGCTAAACTTTCTTTTGAGACTATATATATATATATATATATATATATATATAATCATTTTGATAAAGACCCACCTTCACAGCAGCTGGTTCTCCTTCCTTCAGTTCAGCTAGCCTTGTCTGGTACTTCTGTTTCTGCTTGTTACCCCTGTACCAGGCCTAGAAATCCAGAAATTATATTCTATTTATATCTAAACTAGAAATCAAATTCATCAAAACAGACTGCTGTAATGTTCCCAAGAAGTTTGAATCAAAACATATAGATTATAAGTAGTGCCAAGCCAACACTTGGTATGGAAAATGATTTCAGACTGGCATCTCCAACATCTACATTTGGAAGCATAAATTTTCACTGGTTTAGAAGGATTTGATATTTTTTTAGTTCAATAAATAAAAGCACAAAACATTGGCAAAACAACAACATGAACTCCACACTTGCATTAACAGGTGCCTTGACCTTGTATACATTGCACTTTGTTTATGAATCGACAAACAATCAAGTAAACAGCTAATCTTACCTGAATCTTGGTAATGGCAGGCAGTTGTGTTTTCATGAAGTCCAACCTATCATTATACTGTTTCCGTACCAGGTACCCTCTGATCTGAGCCTGGATCTTCACAATGAATGGTTCATTGGCCGCAAATAACAGCTCTCTATTATGCCCTGCTGTAACTTCTGTTACAATGTTCTGAAATTCAATATCACAAGCATATTATCATTCCTATGAATTAAAGTTACATTAGTTGAGATGAAAGAAAACAACTAATTTTTTTCAATACTTAAACACACATAACAACTTATCCATTTGTCAGCATATTTCACAAACAAAACTCAAGAGCACAAAAACCTCAAAGTAGTCTCCATTAGTGTCACTTAGAATACACATGACAATTTCTTTAAGATTCCAATCCTATATTTTTACCTGAATCTCTTCTCTGGTAAGTAAGAGGTGATCTTTGACCACCCCCTCTGGCCTCTCCCAGGCATACTGCAGAGTGTCGGTATTAAAGTAGAACTTGCTGCCATCTTTCAATCTGTTCATCATCCAACCACTGCCTGTGTCACCTGGATTAAAGTAGAAAAATAGAATTTTAAGTTTATTTAAGCATACCATCATATATATGAAGAGTCACATACTTGTAAGCAGTCATTTAAAAGAAGCAAATGTGCTAATACTTGTTGACTAGACAGTAAATAATCAGTACAAACTCACAACATTTTAATGTTATTTAAGACACCATACTTACCTGATCCTGCCTTGTTATTCTTAGCTTCTTGCATTTTACTGAGATATCCCTCATCACACTCTGCAGTGAGACTGTGTAGAGTCACGTCAGGGTTGTTTAATGTGTTCATCAAGTTCTTTGGATCTCCATCTTCTATGGCAATGTTAATGGCAGCTACGCCAACTGACACTGGAGATAGATAGAGAACAGGTAAGCTACTCTTAAAATATTAATCAGTACAGAATATTCATATTTCGGGCAACCATTCTAACACAACGAGTGGCTATATGTCAGTCTTAGTAAAAATCTTGAGAAACATCAACAATTATTTTGCTTGCTTTAGCCACAGCTGTACTTACTTTTCTGTCCTTCCTCTGCATTTCTATTAGCTTTTGAAACAGTTGTTTGGATGTCTTCATACCAAAGCTGTGCACCATCATCATCCATTTCCTACAAAGAGAAAGGCAAATCAACTCCCCGAAAGAGACCATGTTATGTGACAAAAAGGAGAAAACAGACATTTAATAAATTTACATCATTAATTTTCAAGTGATTATTTTTCCATTTCCTGGTACTAACCTTTACAAAACCTTGCCTCAAGTATCAAGCAATGAACAACTTGTGTCTAGAATTACTACACACCTTTGCCTTCTGTTTCTTCTCCTTGGCCAGCAGGTTCTGGTAATGCAGTGCCTGGGGGGCCTCCACTCCCTTCAACTGAGCACTGGGTGCCAGGAGGGCCTGCAAGGTGCCCTCTGCGTCCCCTCGCTCAATGGCGTCATTGATCAAACCTACTGCTATGATTCCTTAAAGAAAACAAAGTTGTCAGAATATGTGACTCACAACTTTAATTCAGAGTACAATGAATTTTTTCTTTTGATTATGAAGGTAATGGCTCTTCTTCTTTGATTAAGAAAGTAATGGTGGAGTGTACTCGAGTTTAATCTGTTGTACTTACTCTCATGTTCTTCCTGAACCTGACTATTCACATTGTCCACACACTCTTGTATCTCAAAGTGAGTCAACAACTCATTAGGAGCCTGAAAGAAAGAAATATAATTTGAGGGAACTCAAATACAAAGTGTGGCAGACCAAAACCATTATGATACAACTAGTGCAAGAACGGATTTGTATTTATTGTCTAATACATGATGTTCAGTACATGTGAAGAAAGCTGCAGAATTTTTAAGTCACGTATGAAAAGGTTTGGGCATTTTCAAATAAAGAAAATCTTTCACTAATAAATTGGCTAAATGATGTTTTACTGATGACAACGCAGATGTCTTGCCCCATTATCAAAACTTTAATGTGTCAAAGCATTTAGAGTACTGGCTTCACTTTAGCTTACATCAGCTTTCTCTCTCTTTGCTTCCTTCAGGTTCTCTTGGTATTTGGTCTGGTTGTTTTCATCCAGGAACTGAATATGTGCATTCTTGTCCATCAAGGCAGTGAAGGTGAGAGGAGGATCTCCAGATTCTACAGCCTGGTTGATTTTGGCAATGCTTGACAGCACTATGAATTGAAAAGGAAAGTATTATAATGAGCAACTAATTTGCATCATTGAAAGGAGAACAAAATATTCACTACCTGTTTATCAAAGTGTTCACTTTTTAATGAATTAAGCATGATATAAATATGTTTTTATCAAATCTCCCCACCAAATTATAGTGCTTTCTGATACTTTGAAACACAGACTGAACTTACCTCTTACTCCTCCAAAGATCTCCTCGTAATCTAAATCACCCTAGCAAAGAGAAACAATTCCTTGATAAGATTCATATTAAGCACTGAGAATCTATGCAAAAAACTCACAAAATCCCTTACTCAATGCCCAGTAATGGAAGTTGTGTTAATACATGTTATAGTGTACAAACTGCCAGTACCTCAGTCAAAGAGCAACCATCAAAATCAAGATGGTTTGTTGACAGCCAGTATTTTTTTTTTCATTACTATTACCATTAATTTAACTTTTAATTTCTTTAACCTCTTCAATCTTTATTTGTATTCATAATATATTCTGGGCTATTTTAGTTCATATGACATAGAATACCTCCCAAAGTACTAGCATATCTGCAATACACGATTTTACCTGTTTCTCTTCCTTGATGTTCACAAACTCTTCAAAGTAAAGATTAGCTGCAAAGTCGTGCACTGGTGGTAGCATGGCTGCAGGGTTGGCTAGGGCCTTCATCAGAGCCTGGGGATCTTCTCCAGACAGAGCACTGTTGATGCCTTGGACTGCTACCATTTCTGATGAGGAAAGTCAGATAATTGTACTAAGTCTGTTTGGGAAGAATTTTGGTTGATATCAAGTTAGTCTGACAAAAACTGAATAAATTTGAAATTTATTCTATGTGCACGTAATACTCAAATTTATAAAGTTTGGTACCAGCTTGTTTTGTGTGCTGAAAAAAAAAAAGAACATGGGCAATTTTTAAACTCATCTGAAAGTATTGAAAGGAAACAAAAATAAAAAATGAACACATCTAATAGATATATTGAAAATCAAAGACCTTCACATAATGATTCTTACTTTGATACTCTGAGTCTGCTTCTTTGTTGGCTTCATAGATGGCATTCTGAACCTCATCCTTGTCTAAGATCACTTCTTCTCCATTGTTATTATTCTAAAATTAAAGCACACATCTTATGTTAGCAAAAATAATACAAGAGATAATGTCAAGGACATGACTATTTGCTTCAACAATGTTATTTATCTCAACAGATTCATTGCCGCAAGCTCTTGTAGACATAAGTTGTGTTCAATGGTTTCAATGCTATGTGAATTCAGAAAATTCCTCACTTTTACAGAATTGACTAGCAATGTTAAGTAAAACCATATGCAATTGTTCAAAACAAGACAAACAACTTTTTCTGTAAAAATAAAATTAAAAAACTCACCATTTTTGTTTCCCTGTCATTGATAAGTCTGGCCATATAAAACTCCTTTTTGTCAGGACTGACATCTCTCAGATTAAGCAGAGGTGACTGAAGCAGTTTCATCAAAGCATCCATATCTTGTTTGTTCAGGGCATCATTAAGCCTGTCCAATGTCCTGATAGCTGGAAATTTGAGATGCAAATAGATATTAAGTATCACTTTTTTACCTGCTTTGATACAATAGATGTTTTGTTTTTAAAAGCTGGGATTCACATTAAAAACTTGAGTGGCTCATCTTGCTTAAGCTCCTCTTACTTAACCTTTGGGGCAGCTAAAGTATGCCAGCCTAAAATCCATCCTAAAAATCACACACTTAAAATGGTTTGAATGGATATTTATTGAATTCAATCTTTTAATACTATACACACCAATTGCCTTGTCAAAGATATGAAAAATTGTCTTAGAATAGCACACAATCAACTGTCACCATATAATTATAAAATTTCTGACCATGTGAAAACTGCCCTCAACCGTAACCATAAACTCATAAAGGCAACAGCAGTACAACTATAAACTGAATACCTGTTGTTGATGTGTGTCCTTTTTTCTTGAAAGCTTTGTACATATAATATAATATTATCCATGGAACATAATAATAAACATATTTGTTGTATGTGCACACACTTTTTCTCTGCTTTTTTTGCCATTTCCACAAACTATAATTTGCTATACAAAACCAAGAACTAAATTTCCTGGATACTGACAAAATACTTGGAATAACTTGACACTTGTAGATAACAGAAATGTAACTGATTATTTCCATATTTTCCTTCTGTCTACAATTACTGTTATCAGCACTCTAACAGTAGACAAAGACAAATTCATGCGTCTGTGGGATGACTTACTGTTCACTTTGTTTAAATTCCCTTGGATCTCTGCTTGAGTCAATAACTCATCATATACATCAGCTTCATAATCAGGATCCAGGGACTGAAAGCACATTTTACAATCAGGTAAAACCTTATTCAGAAATGGTTAAATGATAAACCATTAATTCCAAGGGCATAAAAGGAGTTACAAAAAATTACTTTTTCATATGAAAGTGATAGCACTACAAACTGAATTAAAATAATGATATAAATATATGTAAAGCAAAACAGAAGATCACTAATATAAACCAGTATGCATGTTCAATGGAACCATTAATTTAAACATGTGATATGCAAATTGATGAGTAATTAATGGAACATTTCCTTCACAACAATTTTTGGAACACTTCCTTTTCAACAATTTTTGGAACATTTCCTTCTAAACAATTTTATCTCCTACCTCATTTACAGCATTTCAGCTTTAATATGTAGTCATCTATTCAACACCTAAAGGAATGATATACCTAAAACAAATGAACACTCCACTGAGAGACAATAGGATACTGTACCCTGTTTCTAGCATTTTCAGCTTTGGTATGTTTGGCAGCATGCAGTATCTCCTGGTAGTCCTCAATGTGTTGAGGTATGACAGCAGTCAGGTGAGCCGCGGGGTTCTGCAGGGCAGAGAGGGTCCCCTTCACCACCTGGTGGTCTATGGCTTCATTGATGGCAATTACAGCAGCGTGCACTGGAAACATAGTAAACAGTAATGTTAACAATAATGGCAAAAGTCAAAAGTCTCTACATACTTTTTCAATTTCAGGAGCTCATTTGTCAAAATGTTTGAAGTATTTTCTTAATTGATTCTTAATTGTTGCCAGAGCTTACTTGTGTTCTCTACAAAAAATGTTTATTTTAATAAAACACTAACAATTTTGGTACATCTATGACAACATCACATATACTGAAGTTTATGAATTAAATAAATTTGAGAAGACTCAAAAAGTTGTCAACAATCATTGCGAAACTATAAACTATAATCTCTACTACTCACATGCGGCTTCATCTACTGGCATCTAATGAAAGAAGAAAATAAAAACTTGAGAAGAACATGCACACACATTAATTAATTAATCAATCAATGGAAATCAGACACTGATACAACATTTAAGACAAAAATTATTTGAGAAAATAATGCACAGATTGTGCTCATTAGGCAATTGTTAGTCACCTAATTCTAATAAAAGTTTTACTGCCTTTAGTGCTTAATTCAGACCTGCAATCACCAAGAAAACCTATTCTTTCTTACTGAAACTTTTATGTGCCAAACTTTGCAATAAGGGCTAATGCTTTATACTGCACATGGCATTTATAGTAAGCTAAACTGCAGTAAGAACAGTGTGTGTGCTGACCGCCCTCTTTTCTTACCCCCCCCCCCCCTTTTACCCTTTTCCTTTTCCCCCCAAATTAGTAACTTTTTTATTTATTTGTTTGATACTTTCTACAAAATCCTAAGCTACAAGGAAATTGCCACCATAATCTACCAGGAAATGCCATCTCATAATCAAACATCCTCACTGCGCTATATTTTTTCAATTATACTTTAGCCCTGCAAAACCAGCATTCAGACAATGACTCATTCAAATCTTTTTCACAAATAACATTAATTGTGATATAAGGAATCCAGGTATCAAGTTAAGGTAGTAATATGATCAATAATTTAACACTGCATGTAGAATTTTAAGTACAGTATCTTCTATAAATTATTCTCACTCCTGAACTAGCCACTAGTAATCCCATCAGAACACAGTGAAAAAGTGGGCAAATTATATCGAAATGGAAAGAAAAATTTACTAGAAACGTGTGATCATAGGAGTTTTGAAATTGCAGCACCAATTTATGGTCAAATTTTATCAGCGAGTCAAATGCCTTTCTTCATAACAACTATGATAGTTTAAAGAGAAATTTAAAAACCTCTGAAGAATAATTTGGGAGATAAATATCTCTTCTAGGTTTTATACCTATTTAAAATCAATTTTCTTCATGGTTATAGGTAACAGGTTTATAAGTCATAATATTTGTAAACTGCACTGAGATATCTGTGAGGTCTGTTTTGAGAAATTTTTTTATAATTAATAATTATCATTATTGATAATATGACAGGACAGACACGCACACACACACATACACACACACACCTTATTTTTAGATCTCTTCTGTATCTGAGAAAATATGCCATGAAATCTAAAAAGACCCCCATTTCATACTTAGAAACAACAGCTGGCAATTCCCTGTTACATTACCAGCAATATTTTTTAGACTGTAATGCAATGCAGCCATAACACCATCTGTTACACAGACTCAGTATGATGAACAGCAGGACATTGTCTATTCCGCGAACTTATTGAAAATAGAAAGCTTTGATGCACAGTGACTAGCTACATATATATTTAATACCAGGAATAATATATTCATTATTCTATTAAAATGCTCAATGCTCAACCACTAGTTCAAATACGTCTTGCTTCTATGAACTTTTTTGTGTGAATGCCTCTAAATAAACTATAAACATTTCCCAATTACAACCTCATCACAATCAATCAATACAGTCAACATTTCTCAACATTGGCATGCCCCTCTTTGACCTTGGTCAGAAAACAGACTTTCTGATACATCATGCTACACACATATTAGGGTCAATCAACTGAAGTTACTGGCATTATCTTCAGTGAGTATTGGAATATACCTCATTAGCCAGGATTCCACCAATCTTACTGAAGGCAGGCATCTGAATACCATATTTTTCCAATTCCTTTCGCATCGCACTTATTTCTTCCTCTGAAATCAAAATTTTATAAAGGGTTGGAGTTTAATGATTGATAAATATTATAGAAATACTTCTTTGGGTGAGAATCAAAAAGAGCTTTATACCAATTTATTTCTCCTCATCTACAAGTTTTTCAAACAGATACACAAAACAATCCTATTGCTACTTTTTTCATGTTACCACTAACACATCTTTTCTTGTAACCAAATACCCAAATCAAAGAAAGATTAAATATTAATAATTATTTGTGGGCCTTTGCACCTTATTTTCATCATAAAGTGAACTTTTCCATAGGTAGCTTGAGCTTGTTGCTTTACCTGTAAACTTGATCTTGCCATAAAGATCCTGAATCTGAGGTGCCAATCCAAGCTTGAACATGTACAAACTGAAAAAATAAAGAGGAACTGAAATACTTATACAAACATATTAAACAATTTGGGCCAATTAATGATATAATTTGCAATAAGAGCACACTTAATTTTATGCAGTTCAGCTGTTTTGATTGTAAATCTTTTTTTTTTCTTGAATTAAAAGTATATTGTGAGCATTTGTAACAATAATGAAGATATGAGAGTGATCAACTTTTTAATCATCCAGATCCCTGTAAGAACCCTACCTAAGAGCATGTATACAGTAGATAACGCGGGGCATGTTCTTTCTGTCATAAATGTCTGTGGTTTCTGGGTAGAATATCTGAAATAAAGCAGACAATTTAAACTCATTATATTCAATCCAGTGCACATTTATTTCTTCAAAATTTCTTTCTGAAAAATTGCCTTTCATACAAAAAATCTTGCATTGATTCGTTTATAGACATGCATTTCTACCTGGTTTCACATTTCGTGATTTCTGGAGGAAAATGGACACAATAACTATTATTTAACATGGTCATTATGTCATCATTAATAGCTCTGGAAAAAGGTACAAGGCCATTATATCAGTCCACGTATTAAAAGTCAAGAAAGATCATCAGCTTTGAAACTTTGCCCAAAGACTTCCAAATGTAGTTTAAGAGCATGTCTCTAGTCATACATCTACGCATAAACACCAATCCCTCTTAAGGATAAAATAAAAAAAAAACAATTCTTAAAAAAACAGTAAGCCGACAGAGAAAACAAGGACAAAGAATATAGCAGTCCTAGATCCAAGCCTGTAACTAGCCGACTGGAAAGAAATCTGACTGTTGGCTACCACACTGACAATAGCCCCAGTGTTTGCAAGCTATGTGATAGTTATTGATCTTTCTCACCCCTTGGGACAAGGGGTTAATTTACCAGTTGCACCCATATTAATCCGGCATAAAGTGTACCTGGCTGGCAATATTCTGGACTTCTTAAGTCAAGAACAGTGGTTTCATATTCGCATGTTTATGTTGCATGAAGGCACTTTTCCAAACAGGACTGGCTCAATCTTATATGATTAATATTTTGGGATCTAACATTAACATAGGTGAAAGTTTTAAAAAATGAAAAAAAAACTGAAGACACAGCTTGCAATCATCACATTAAGGCCATATGAAAAAACATTTTAAAATGAAATTTGAAAGTCCTGAAATCAGGTATAATTCTGAAAACTTTCACCAATGCATTAAGAGCTTTAAAAATGATTTAGTACCAAAAGCAAAACAACATGCTGACATGTCTTTTTATAGAATGATTTGTTTTATTAATGCATCAGTTATAACCTGAGCTCATGGTAATGCATAGCTAATTACTTGTTGGATAGATAGATGCATACTGGACAGAAAAACAAAAATGTTGCATAAAAATTGGGCTTGCTTTTACATAATGTCTTTCAGCCAAATACATTTCAACATATTTCATTTCTTTTAATAAATTTTAAATATGTTTAGCTTATTGGCAAAATTTATCAGATGGAGTGAGCCAAGTAATCCATTTCTTTCTGTCTCCTTCAGTACACCTACACTTCTTAAATGATATAACCACCGTAGTCATTTGTAATGGCACTGTCTCACATGTGACCCTGAATCATTTTAAAATTGCAGGTATACATAATGCATGTCATTTCAAAGGCATTATCTCTAAAAAAGATATGATGACATTTGACTAGACAGATACCGTCAGAGGTTTTGGCATTGGGGGGGGGGGGCCAAAAATTATCTAAGCAAAACACTACACTAAGACCTCTCTCTAAGTACAATGCAATCCGACACCCACTTCTCTTTTTTTATTTCTGTCCTTTCTTCACACAAAACCAATTTAATCAGTTCTGATCTAAACTTACACCTGACCCATGACAAACATGACTACAACTACTCAAAACACATTTATGTGTTGAGATAACTCATCTTAATGGGTATGTGTTGACTTGACTGAACGGGATCAAGACTGTATAAATATCTGAGCAATGGTACTTCAGGTAGTTTTCTTTGAGGAAGAGGGCAGAAAGAAGTATTAGTAGAAGTACGGAATGTGACATATTTATATATATATGCAGTTTCACATTCCTCTAGGTTCAACAGGTTGTAAGGCAAGGGACAGCTTAGGCTACATGTTTACAGACGGGCATTACAGTAGCCAACTACTTATATGGTCATCTTGGTAAATGGGTTTCTGTCTTCTTGGAGTCTTTTACCTAATACATTCTTATTTATCCTTATTCCATGGCAGTTTGTTTGTTTGTTTGTTTGTTTGTTTGTTTTTGCCCATCCAGACTTTCTCTAAACTGACTCAAATTTAGCCAATGGCAACAAAAGATGCATCAATGTTGGTATAAATCTTATATGGGGCCTTTTACATTCTAGCAAATGAGAAATGTTGCAACTGAGGTTTTTTGATGACATACCAGTTATAGATGAAATAGGATCTACATTTTGACCCATTTCTGCAATGAGTCACTTTACATCATACTGTTTTAAAAGACAGGAGACTCAAGGTCTGAAGTGGTTACCTTTCTTCTCTCCATTGGTTAACCACGAATACAAATTCCATTGTTTACAATATGGACAAAACCAAAATTGTCATGGACAAATACATGAATATAACCAGTATTCCATAAAACTTTTTTTTTCATGTCAGAGCTGCCAGAAATAAGCATAAGTGAAATAAAATGAGCTCATTTCTCCCTCAAATACCTGAATATTCCAAATTAGCAACAATTCAGTGAATTATTTCAACCAAACTGTCATTCTGCTTCGGGTTATTATATCAGCCACTGAATTCCACATGTATAGACAGCCACTGTGAACATAAAACATTTATGCTGTTGCAGCATACTTTTCATGGCTGCAGGCGATCACCATTTTATATATAGCTTTAGTTTGATATTATTTTTTGATATCATTTTTGGTCACTGATCAATGTGAATATTCCTATCACAATGCCAGTCAAAAAGTTTTTTCCCATCACAAGTGTAACACTGGATGTTGTGTTTAAGCACATTAATAGCGCAGCACTGCAATTAATTCACAGGGGTTGTCAAAAACAAAGTGAATCTTTTTTATGAGCACGGGGAACTTATTTTAGTATGAACTTTGCTCTTGGGAGGTAGTATTTCGTCTCACACGTAAGTCTGTTGATTCATACTGATTATGAGAGGAAGAAAAATTTATAGGACGCCTAGCAGAATAACCCTTCCATTATAATTCTTAAATCATATAAAGGAGAATCCATCTCACACACACTTGGGACCAAAATATCTACCATATTATCTAGATCTACACTTTTGATACTAAGGTGATTACAAGATAAATATTCAATGACAGACAATCTTCCATTTGTAAGAAAAGGTCTCTGGCAGCAGCATATCCCTATATCATACATCATCACTGAGTGCACTGGATAACAATATACTAGTACTGACGTGGAAATCTAAAAGGCTACCTACTAGTCCTTGGATAATAACTTTCTTTTATCTCTCAGCCACATATTTATTTATTAGATATTTACAAAAGAAAAAGAAGAAGAAGAAAAGGAGAAATGATGGTTTCAGAGAAGATTTATTGGCCTTTATATGCCCCATATCTACTGGTTTGGGCATTTTGCTTGAGATCTGTTATCCTGGCAACCGCATACTAAAAAGGGACATTAGTTAAATACCAGCTAATGTCTATCATTAAGATGGACATGGAATGTAGATCTCAAAATCTTTTCCTGCATATCTCTACTGCTTATGTCTTATTTGGGTTTTTTCTTCAACTCAAGCAGATTTTGTATGGAATATCAAACCCATTATTTGTGCTACAGAGCATGAAATGCACGTGACAACAAAACATTCCTAATCACAATATCTGTAATTTTCTTTGGTGAAAAATATGCAACAGGTATACTATAAATTATAAAGGAACCTGCTCTATATTTATCTCACTCTGAGGTATTTGAAGAACAATTATTACGACACACTTTTCAAATCATAAAAAAATGTGCAAACGTTGAAATCAACCAGATTCATCAACTACACTGAAAGCAATATTGAAATGAAGAAACAATGAAATATTTCACCAGTTCTCCAAATAAACTAAAACGTGCATTCTTGTATTAAGGACATTCCCCTTGTGATTACTGTCACATGTTCTGCACACCAATGACAAGTACAAGCTGTTACACTTTAGCCTTAACCTCCATCATCCATAAATTCAGTGTGTATCTGCCCATACGTATCATGGTTTTGAAAACCTTATGATACCAAAGTTATAAGTGAAGACAACAATACAGTACATTGGTTGCATAGATGGCTGGCCAGATTAGGTTAACCTTCCATGTCTATTAGAGTGTAAAATTTAATGTCAATAATAGATGCATCTCTTTTAATTAAGTTTTAAGTGACGTTACCAGACAGCATGTGTATTTCAATTTCACTTTCTTCTTTTACATTTGCCCCCCCCCCCCCCAATCCCCAAAACAAACACACTCAAAAACACATCAAATGCACTATGGTCAACCAGCCCTATTCCTCCTTTTACTCTTTCTATGTTGTTGATTATAATTATTAATATACATATATATCATTCAAAACCTGATATTAGATGTTATAGCTGATAACACACTTCTTGATCAGTCTACCTATATTCCAATCCCCTTCAGCAGCATCACTAGCATTTAGAACCAAATTTTACTCTTCACAATGCCCCTAGTTAAAAGGTGTTTAAGCACAGGAATGCCTTATTGTAACTAAACATCAGTGATTCAAATTCTAATTTTTTTCCACTGGTTATACAAGCTTATAGTTCAGAAGAGTACCTCCCACCAGGATTTAAATTTCCCAGCCTGAAAAATTGGAAGCTTAAATATTGCCTCATCTTTGGTGTGCTAATCTATGTACATCTACATACTCATTAAGCTGCTGACATACAATATATGAATCATAACTGATAGAAGCCTAATTCTCTGCCACAGATAGTTCAGCTTGTCTCTAGAACTAAAATAATTATATGAAAATCCTCAAATTTCTCCAATTTACTCATCTTACATAAATAAATGAATGTAAGTCTATCACTGAGGTTTTGATATCAGAAATATATGAACAACTGATAATACATTTTAACCCAAGCACTAGAACGAGTTCAAAGAAAATAAAGAGCAGGGGGCCAATATGAAATTACGTTTAGACCTATTTTACTATGAACAGAAAATGGGGACGCTGTTCAGGTACAATAAACCTGTTCTGAAAAGATAGAGATGGATTTTATTCCTATTTATAAGGTTACAGGGCAGCAAGCACATTGAATGGAAGCCGCATGCCACTGTTAACCTTCACTTCAGTTACCACTGGGGTGATAAAGTGTACTAAAGATGACCAATTCAGCGGGATACTATCTACTATAAGCTATAGCATAGTGGCAGGGTGTTACTGATGCAGATACTAGATGTCCAGTAGCTGTGAGAGATCAGAAGTAATAACATGGTGCCAGCCAGTGCCACATTTTAGCACCAATATTTGCCCTCTTTCTTTCTAGATAACCTATGCTGATAGGTCTCCATTTTTTTTTTTTTTTTTTTTTTTTTTTTTTTTTGGTAATAAGTAGTTTTGAACAAAACATAGGTTTCACATCACAAACATAAGAAAAGAAATACATCTGCCAAGCAGTGGCAGATGCAATACAGATATCTATTTTGGAAAATCATGATTCAATTTTTCAAAAGAAATTATTGCTGATATGAATGGTACAAAGTCGCTCCATTTGGTGTCACAGTAAAACAATACTTTGATGACCTAAATATGCACAGACTTAATTATCTAACTTATTGTAGTTGAATCATTAAACTTTATCATGTTTAAGTGGCTCATTTACAGCATTTGAATTCTGAAAAGACCAGGGTTAACATGCATGCTTCTTCTTTAAACTCGAACAATTATCCAATACTAACCTAATACTTAATTAAAAGAAAACAGTTGTAAACCACTGAAATTTAGTAATAAAATTCTTAATCTCTTGTTTGGCAGAGAAAGAAAGGCCAATTCAGAATATCTTTTAAATCACACCAATTATGCATGTTTTTCCCCCAATAAAAACAACTTCAGTTAAATATGTGCTACATAAAACAAGGCACTCACTGGTTGACCTCTTTTGATTATGGAAAGGGAGATGCTTCCATTTGATTTGAATGAATTGCAATCTAAACTTAAAATTTGACTTGTTTCAAATTCAGTCTCTATGTAATAAATAGAACATCTTTTAAAATAACCACTTGTAGTACTCCAAACTATAAGCAAACTTTGCAAAGATCATCTGACAATGTCACGATCTTAGGTCTGTTAAGACAAAATAATAAAGAAAGTGCTGCATTCAGAGGTTTGGGGAAAGAGAGAGTAAGAGAGAGATTGAGGGTGATGACTTACATTTGGTAGTCCCAGTTCCTCCAAGGCTCTCAACCAGTGGTTGATATTGTCTGTGTGTCGGAAATGTAATCCCCGGACCTATGTAAAAAAAAAAAAAAACATTCCAACAGATTATTGATATGAAATATTAAGTATCTATAATCATTTATTATTAAAGTGAGGATTATAAATTAATGAAGTGGCTGATTTTTATACATTAATAAAAATACTCCACCTTGTATCTCTCTTGATCTTTGTCATAGATTTTCTTTAAAGGCACCAAATCTGGTTTCATAAAATGTGCCAATTTTGCCAAGTATACTCCATTTCTCAGTCCTTCTTCTACCTCAGTGGTAGCTGGCAACTGATCATTGATACAGGCTTCTATCCATCTAAAAAAAAAGAGACAAAAAATTAAATTTCAGAATCATTCTTATGAACAGACAGCCAGAGAGAAAGAGAGAGAGAGAGAGAACAGAGGGAGGGAGACAGAGAAATTGCATTTGAATAAATATCATGAAAAAGGTAAGGCTAAAAGTGGGAAAACACTTGAAGCAAATTGTGATCACTTCAGATTTCAATGCACCACTGATAGGAAACATTCAATACAGACTGAACTAGTGACATCATGGGGCCCTTTTGTTTATGACATATCATTGACTCCACTTTTTATTTTTTATTTATAAAATCATATTCTGTGAGCTTGACCTAATTCTTTGCAGCATCATAAAATGTTTAAAATGCAATGAAATGATAAAGGTCCACTGCAAACTTCTAAACCCTTTAAAACAATGGCTTTCTGTTCTGACCAAACTGAAATATTAATGATAATATGTTACCTGAAAATTGGCCCTTACCATGCTGCTTAGCCTTCTACAGGTACTATATAAATACAATTTGCTCTTACTGTATGTATAGTTCAAAAGCCACATATTCAACCCAAATAAAAATAAGGTGATAATTGAGATTTCCGGATTTAAACAATAGTGATTTACATGTATTCATTTATCCAATGCACAAATAATTTTGTAGGGAATTTCAGTCATGGCTTTTGTTGATTTTACCTTGCAAACACCCACAAGGCTATTAAAGCACGTTTGGATCCTGCAAGTCAGTAACAACAAGCATGCAAGAATGTCATCATTGTTAAGCACAGCTGCTATCAGGACCCACAAATATATATATTTTGTATTTAAGCCAAATTTCCATTTTCTAACTAACATGCTGGCAAAAACAGTAAAACATTTTTATTTAGAAAAAAGATAATTATACTTAGAACAATGAAATCAATTAATGACACAGGATCTGATGTCAGAAAGTTAGGGAAAATTCCTATATCAATTGAAACAGATAATTACACTACTTAAAATGTGGAAGGGAAATTCCATTTAACTGATGCACAGGATATCAGCTTACTTTTGAAGTAAAATAAAGACATCCTCTAAATAGACACATTCTGAACATATCATAGTTTCAATGTTCATTCATTTCTTTCATGATATATTTCTGGATTCCAGCAGACTTCCTGATCTGAGCTGCGCATAATGAAAAATGTCATATGAAAACACCAAAGACCAGAAGTTTTCAAAACAAAACCTTATGTCTTCTGAATGATATTAATCTTTATGCAAAAGTACCTATCACAATATGATGTATCATGTATTTATAGCCCAATGTGCATTTCATTAGCTTATTAAGCAAAACATATAATGTGCCATATGATAGCAAACCTGACTAGGTCAGGTAGTATAGAGGCAATGTCTGCATATTATACGAGATGGCAAGCCCTGTTACATGCATTACAATAAAGACTTTATAAGCTGTGATGCTGTGATCACAACTGTTTGTGTATTCAGCAGACTTCCTAGACCTCTAGAGCCAATGAATCACATACAGACCCACCCACATAATAATAGAAAACCACATCATCTGAATAAATCTCAAAAAAGGTTCAACAAAGCAAAAAGTTATCTTTCCAATCATTTGGTGTTAAAATAGAAAAAAAGACTTATGCTAGACAATGCAAAAAAGTATAAATATAAGGTCTTGTAATTTTTCAGCACTCTTTTTCTTAAAAATATAAGTAGTCCAATCATTTCACCTGGTAATCAAAATTCAAATGGAGCTGAATATAAACTGAAATATATAAGGTTATGAAGACTTCACACTTCTCTCTCTCTCTCTCTCTCTCCATTGGTTTCAGACAAAAGTAGGACAAAAACTAGAAAGTTTATCTGACTGCATATTACAGACTTAATTTGCACATCCTGCTGCCTTGAAGATACCAGCATGTGGACACCAATCATTTGCATGATATATTTCTGATATTGCTGGTACTGAGTCACCATTTTTATTTTCATCAGAGAATTTAAACAAATCTTTTTCTCATTATGGAATGAATTTTTTTTTCGCATACATCAAATCTATTTGGAAATTTTACAGCTTCATTATTACCTGTTTGCAACATACTGTTTCTGACAGTAACAAAATTAAATACTTTATACTGCCCTGAATCCTCTAAATCTGTTTGTTCTTTTGGGTATTTGGTGGTGAATACTGCACGAGAGGGTTTATTATGTAAAAAAAGTGAGTCATATACATTTTTCAGCCTCAAATTGCCAGTCATGTATGTGAATTAATATGGTCTGGCTGCTGCATGATTTTTTTTTCAATATAAACAACACATTACATACATGCTGTTCAACAAAATTTAACAGTATATTTCATTATGCCAACCAACAGGCAAAAATGCTATGTAGGATACTGCTCATTTTGCTTCATAACAACACATCATTTCATATCAACATCAATCTTTTATATCGAGTATTACAAGATCCAATATAGGAAAATACTTAAGCTCTGCCACTGTGTGTTTAGGATGAAAACTAATGTTAATTATACTCTAAATGTACCTGGTGCACTTATAATAATTACAAGTATTCCCAACTGACAGGGATATACAGGTGGTACTGATAAGAAATCTACAGAATACTATGCGTTAACAGTGGGAAACCAACAATGTGATGTGGTCAGATAAAACACTATCAGAATATTCAAGTAAATGATTGATAAAATGAAAATTCTAGTTGAATGTCACAAACAATATAGCACTGCAATGGACAGTCAACTTAATGGGTTTCAATAACTCAATATTTGTATGCTATTAATCTTCAGGGGAATGGGTTCATACAGATTCTTTGCTGTAATAAAAAATGCATTACTCCACCAATAATTTTGGCTGCTGTGAACATTTAAGCACCAGTGTCATATGAAACAAGTTGACTAGAATAGTTTTCTCAAAGAAAGAGTGACATATTGATAAAATGCAAAAGTATTTACTTTCGATAGCCATTCAGCGAAAAATGGAACTCTGGGTCTCATTTTACAAAACCAATGACATCATATTAAATAAAGACCTCTGTTCTAATTATAGGACTATGCCTTCTATTTCTAGGACATAGCTACAGTATGATTTCAAAAGCCTGTTTACATATAAAATGACCACTATGGCTTCTGACAACAAAGCTATGCAACTAATGGGGCAATCATTTAAAACTTAAATAGCCTCAGAGAGTTTAAGTGTCACATGAATTGTTCAATTAAGTATTACATACTTAAGATATGAATGTTCTGAGATGACTGACCTATTCTGTCAACCATTAACACATTCTTAAAACATAAGACATCATTATACAGATACAAATCTGCTAAATATCTGATAACAAGAACAATTATCAAATGAAGCTATTAGTTAACAATCTGCTATAGAACAAAGGTTGTTTATTGTCTTCTTACCTTTGAAACTAAAGCTGAGTGTCATTTTAATTCTCCATTGTTAAACTAGAAAAATAATTCCCAAAGGAATTTTTTAATAAGTGCTTTATTCAATTCTACTTAATTGCCATTTAATATGAGAATGATAGAGAATGTCCACCTGAATGAGAATGTCCACCTGTAGGAAGAAGATGGGCCTCAAATAGTTTTACTTAAAAGCTGCATCATGCATAATACAACAGCAGTGGTTATTATCTACCACAAGCAGAAACCACCTACGCTGTGTGACTCACACATGTAACAGCCTTGCAACATGGCACAAGGCTGGGAAAGGAAGCTCAACAGCCAAAGCCTACACTGCTACACAGAAAAAAATATTATCTCAGGAAAATTAAAGTTCAGTTGTTGCTTCTCAACAGTTCGCACAAGTGCTTCAACAATTCACACAAGTGTAATGATGGTATTAATCATTTGCATCAGTTGAATAAATGTAAAAAAAGCATTCTCATAGAAAGGTCAAATACAGCCACTGCATTCGGTGAGACTGACATTTATGTGTTTTAACGGAATTTATGGTGGTTTAATTGTACTCACACTTTGGCTTCCTCCAAATGGCACAAGTATTCGTAGGCAATGTTCTCTTGCCGCTTCTCGTCCATCTCCTCTGCCGAGATTCGCTCATGGCCCTCTTCGACGTCTGAAAATAAAACAAACACACTGCAAAACTGTAAAGCAATCTACGGTAGTGCTGTGAAATAAATAACACTGAAATTGTAGCTTCAATCTGCATGGTGAATGTGTCATAGACTGAATGAAAAGGCGACCCACTTCCATAGGAAGCTCTGTGTTGTCCCCAGTCGACTTGGTCCTCCATTTTATGCGTTATATTAATCCGTTAATTTATAGATCCACACTTTGCGAAGTGTCTTCGTGGTGAGTTTTTAAAATACCATCTGAAAGTCACCATTCACTCCATAAGAAGTAAGTAAACAAGACTTTTCCTGGCGCGGCTCGAATTTTGAAACGGATAAGTAGAGCATTCTGGGATGTCAGGTGGCTGCTTTCGTCCTTCACATTGACCTTATATGTTCGCCAGCAGATGGCACTACATGCTTGTTGGTTTACAAATGGCGACAGTTCCTTAGCTGCATGTCAACAAGAAGGTGAGAAAATCCATATTTTCCTCTTTGAATTGTAATGTACACGATCAATATACGGCATCAAACCCATTGTTAAATGTGAATGAAGCACGTAGTTGACGTAATGTGCTAACTATGCTTTACTCATTCTATTGATAGTAGCATAAATTACGTTATTTTCCCCTTTTTTTAGAAATAACGTCACACTGACAGTGACAGTCAGTGAGTGAGATTGTGCCGTAGCACTAATATTTCTACTTGTTTAAAGTGCAAAGATCAAACTTAGTAATATTTTTGGCCAATGATAATTTATTGGGATGATATTTTGTCATATACAATACAATAGCAAAGTTAAACTGTGATCTTTGACAAATAATTTTGTTATTTGTCCTTGTAGTGATGGAATCATTTATGCAAATTGCTGCATTGAAACATTTTTGTGGATTTGTAGGTGAATAAATTTCATGAAATTGTCAATTCTATCAATAATTTTTTAAGTGTTTTTTTCTGTCTCAAAGCCAATGATCAACTCCCTTTTTATCTGCTTCCATTGTTTATGGTGCAATCATGGATATTTAAAGATAATTACACAATAAACGTAAAAAAAGAAAGTAAAAAAAAAAATCAACTCAGCTGCATTATTATCTGTGGAATTATCTTTTCTTTTCGTTATATTACTTACTTACTAATTGTAAGTTAAATGTCATAAAAACAATTATAATGTTTTATTGACCTAGTATGTATAAACAACATAGATTGGTTGCTGTTGGAGCTCTTAAAGAGAAATATATAGTTAAAAATGTGAAAATAAAATAATTAATTACATATTGCCTTTAATTAGAGTTAAAATTTTGGGTTCAAATGAGAAACAGCTTGAAAAACAGGCTTGTATAAACTATGTATGAACTCAAACATTGAATTATGGCTGGAATTTACTCTTTCGCATTTAATGTCTTCTGCAAAGTACGTACTTTTGGAGTTGTTGTTTTAAATTAGTATTCATTAAAAAGTTTTATGATCTTTTTTTTTTTTTTTTTTTGACTACGGTCTACAACAAATACTAGTATGCCGTTACCAGTAGAATTCCCCTACATTTTTTTGTTTAACTCTGCTATATTTTATTTACAGTGACCAATGGTGATATATGTACAGTAGGCAGATTTTTCACTGCAATCAGCACGGGTCAGCATGCAGCACCAAGTGAAAGAGCTTCCTGCCATTCGTGGAGCTAGGAGTCCTGATACCAGGATCCAGTATCGAGAAACAGATGCCAGGAGTCCACATTACAGAGACCAACCACAGTACGGTGGTTACGATTTAGTGGATAATAGATCTGCATCCCGCGTGGAACACTTAGAGGAAAGACTGGCCCATCAGGAAAGAACAACACAGGCATTGCTTGAAAAAGCTGTGCGTATTAAGGAAGACATTCTTGACAATACCAGTTACACTCATGGAACATGGCAAAATGAAAAAAGAGCCAGAGAGCTGCTGCAGGATCATATCAGGACCATTACTGATGTTGTCAAGAAACTGGATTGGGATATCAAGGTGATGATTTTGAATACTAACTAAGTTACAGTAGATCTAAATGAGTAGTCAGGTTTCTGCTGTCAGAATACATAGGTATCATTAGTGCATAGAAAATTTTTTGCAAAACTTTTCTACATTTTCATGTTATATGCAGCTTTTTCATTGTCAAAAAAAAAAAAAAAAAAAAAAAATGAAGTATGTGCTCCTAAAGGAAAAATATAAAAAAGAAAGTTGTTTGAAATTATATCTGTTCTGCTGTATTCATGGAAATACAATTAACAAGTCCTCTTACTCATATTTTAGATTGTAGAGGACCAGCTTCGTATGAAAGACTCTTCAACATCTCAAGCATCAGCAGCCGTTAAGAACCTAGAGGTGCATCATGTGGCAGGGTTGACAGACCTACGAGGGCGAGTAGCAAGATGTGATGCATCTATAGCAAAGCTAGCATCAGACAGTAAAGCTTGCTTTGAGTCCATTAAGAGTTTGAATACTGAGCATCAAAACTTGAACACTAAACTGATGGAGAAGTTACAGGATATTGAAAATAAGGTGCTGAACTGGTGATTACCAATTATGGTAATCAATTATTTTTTATATGCGTCAGATGAATATTTGAATACTTTTGGCTTTTTAGACATACATTTCTTTTTTTCGTGTAAAATGTAGTCTTTTTAAATGCACATAATTTTATTAATTGTGACAAAATGTGCCTGACATTTAATTTAGAATATCAACATTTGATTGGTGTTTATTGAAATCCTGCTGCCGACACCATGTGCTTGCATGCCCACTGACCTGATGATGATGAACATATTTATTAGAAAAAAATTATGTAGATAATATCTTGTTGTTAGTTGACAATCTAGCAATGAGAAAACCTCAAACATTTTCTCATTTAAAGCAAAACCATGGACATTTTGTTTTGAATGACGGTATTCAATCAGTATAGATTGATGGTTACTGATATGATGATACATGTTAAGTTAGAAGTTGGGTGTTCTTTATCTGAAAACTAACTCTTCATGTCCCAGCACAATCATAACCTTGTACAACTTTTTGTGTGTCTTATATTTCAGATGGCTGAAATAAATAACAGACTGGATAAGGTCAATATAGAACACACCCTGAAGATAAAACACATGGAAGGGGATTCCAGTCAACAGCTCAGCCACCTTGACACCAAGACTCGGGCTTTGTTTGAGGAGCTGAGACATACGCTTACTGCCAGCAAGGCAGTAGAGGAGGCCGAGAGGGAGAAGATGGAATCCAGGTTGTTCACTCACTTAGACAGATCATCAACTTCAAGAGATGGAAGGCTGGTAATGAAATCAATTAAGTGTTGCTGTAATATTTTGTCTTTTTCAAGGCAAAATACAACCAAAGAGGATTTCCTTCATTCAGTTGTTTTAACAGAATGTCTTTGAAAGTAACATTTTTGTGCCAGTTATACTGTACAGTTGGACTATACAATCCTCAGTCCCCAAAATCTACATACTTTTTTCTTTTTGCAAATCATCTCCATCATTTTCCGAACCATGAATCTCATGGATCTGAGAATATGATATGATCTATAATGTAATTTAAAAAAAGAAAAAAAGCTTGATCATTCAATATGTAGTTAAAATGTAAGAATATGTTACATGTTTGAAGATTTTTCTTATTTTCTCAGGATAAAATGGAGAAAAAGGTAGATGAGTGGTTTCATGTGGTAGAAAAAAAGTTGCAGAAGATGGAAGATGAGATGATCAGGGACAGAGAACGGACAATAAAAACAGAACAGGTGATCACATTTTTTTTTATTCCAGTTTGTTGATAAAGTAAAAATTATTATTGCACTCTTTCCTATTGCTTTAAAGTTTTTGTGAAGGGAGTAATGTATATATGTACAGCAAACATTTTAAATAATATATTTACCTTCCCTTTTATTCCCAAATGGCAATTTATGAAGAATGCTACACTTTTTTTCGCCTTTTCTTTTCTGTCCATATCTTCAATATTTTTAGTCAATTCAAACATTTTTTAAATACAGTCTTGTTGAACATTTTTCTTTTGGATTATTTTTGCCGTGTTATTTTGTATTTAACCAACAAACATTTACCTCTTTATTTAGGCTTTTGAAAGCAGATTCAGTCAGCATGTGGATGTATCTATAAGGAAACAAAATGAAGAAATATCAAAAGTGAAGAAAGAGTGCAGAGAAGCATTTGCTACTCTTCATGAAAGCATTGTGAGCATGAAGTCTGTACAAGATGGAAAAAGAAAACTTTTAGAGGAACAGATTAGAAAGGAAATAGGACAAATAAGAAAAATGGTGGTCTTGTTATAGTGCCATCTCTCTGTAATTAATACTTTTTATGTTTTTTAATCTCGCATATTTTATGTATTCTTTACTTACATTATCAAATATATAAATACTTCAGCAACGCCAATATTTTATATGTTGTAACTTGTAGTTCAAAAACACAAGTTCACTTCCATGGATTTTTCGTAAATATTGCATTTTTGAGACTTTCATTATTTCATTTGTTTGAGTGTTCCATTGTGCCAAGTCTTCCTGGTAGGGAGCATTGCGTTTAATATATATATATATATATATATATATATAAACTGGCTTCCATATCTCTTGCTTCCTTGCAAAAGTTATCACTTAAAAAGATATATTATAAATTCTAAGGTAGATTTCAGTGAGAAAAGAATATTTGAATTCATCTGCTTTAAGTTTTATAAAGTACAATCTGTGAAAACACTTGAAAAAAAACCCAAATACACTTATTCCTGATTACTATGTAGGTTAATACAGCAGGTATATGCAACGTCTTCCAAGTCATTAAAGGCAACAAGATGCAAATTTTTGTGACAGTTTTGTGATCGACAGCAGTGTATTCAAATATGCCATATTTTTACAACATATAAGCTTCATTACTTGTTATAGAATTACCAAAAGCTGCAATTCCATCTGGAGTGAATACCCTAATTGTTGTGTGAAACAAATAATATGGAAAGGCTTTTCTGGAAACTCTTTTTTTTTTTAATGAATGAAGCAGGCAGAGTTGCTTTTAAGAATAAAACGAAAAGTATTGAAAACACAACCTGTACATGCTTAAATGAAGAATTTTGTGTAAATATTTTTCTGCCTTTGTCTTTTCATGTAAATGTAGGCATTCAACTTTCAATTTATAAATATTCCATAACTGCTTACAATATTTGGAGAAGCAGAGATCAATTTTTTTCTAAGTAGATACTTTCAAAAGCTGCATCTGTTATTAAATATTTTTATGGTTTCCAGCTAGTCTGATCTCAATTAAAATAAATTCTAAACAATGAAAATAAACTTAGAAGTTGCCACTGCTTATTCAGTGTTAGATTTAAGATTACAAACATAAACAATATATTTTAATATGTGTAACAGGGAGGATGATGATTTTTGATACAAGTTCTTCCAGTCCATTCACAATGTCCCCAACTCTCGTTTATTTCTCAAGATTTTATGTAGTCCAAAACAACCAGTAACATACCATTCAGATGCTGCCGAAGGTGATAAAAACTCAAATACTCCACGAACCTATAATGACCAGTTTCCTACAAAATGGCCTTCAACAGGCTTGTGGTGTCATTAATGTATATTTTGAAAAAGAAGCCCGCTAGAAATGTTTAAGACTACTGTTAAAATTGCTGGATCACTACTTGAAACTACAGAACCGTAAAAATATACAGGCTACTTTTGTGAATCTCTCCTGTTCAAAATTACATCAAATGGAAAAAAAAAACTTTTTTGACTTGAAACAATGCTTTTATTGATAAATATATTTACAGGACACAAACATTTTCACGCATTAAAAACATATACTTTTGAGATTAAAGGTGCTTGAAAGCTTACAAAATACATTTGCAGGATCTACAGTTCAAGGCAAATAAATAAATAAATAAATAAATAAATAAATAAATAAAAATGAAATAAAAAAAGACATTTCCCCCCTCCAAAACTTTAGTGAAGATATGCGCTTTCCAACAGAATTTTACATTTGACTGAAGCAACTTGGTGAATGAATGCTATAAAATAGAATTTATGGCATATTAATATAATTCTATCCTATAAAATGCAAAATAAAAATGCATTTTTAATCTACCATTACAATTTAAAAAAAACTACAAATTAATTCAACATGCATTTTACAAACGTCATAACAGTGGGCAGCAAACAAAACATTTATAAAACTCCATTTATCAATTAATAGAAAAATGTTTCATTGTGACCATACCCAAGATAAATATTTTCTACTAACATTGTAAATAAACAGCACATGGCATGATAAAAATACTTTTTTCACAGATTCACATTTCTCTTTAAATGGATTTCTTTTATACATAAATTAGGTAATCTTTACTACATCAATCCAGCTGACAAACTGACTGCCCAGTACCTGCACCAATATCTTAAGTATACACGTGCTTATAAACGTAGAAAACAGAGATTAATACTTCAACTTCCACTTTTTAGTAAACCCATGTGGGACTGAATAGATAACAACTAATACAGTTTAAAAATAAAGAAAAAAATCCTGTAAATTTAATGAAAATTGCTAGACAAATTATAATTACTGAATACCTCCACCTATTATTAAACCCTGCATCTAAACTAACAGATGAAATTTTTCTAGTAATTGCAGTAAATGGGCTTTCAGGGGCGGATTGAGGCCGTCTTCTGGGTCTTCCAGAAGACGGTCAGATTTTCAAGTTAACATTGACAGGTATCTAATTTTTTCTGTCGAAAGACTTTCAAAAATGGAGGATGGATCAACAAAGATAATTTTGAAGACTGTCAGAAAAAATCTCTGCATCTGCCCCTGTTTTTATAACTGAAAGTGTATATGAACACCATACATCTATGTAATCAAGTATCACAAGTTAAGAGGAAAGCAGAACTTCCAGATATCCTGGTAACCAAGTAATGGCTCCGTCGCCTGCTCCAGCGATAAGGATGTGCAGGTTATGATTACAGTCACTACAATATTTGTATTGAATAGTACATAAAATGTAACACTAACTTTTACCTTATATCTACGTGGCTAGATTCTTCAATTTATGAAATCTGTGAAACCTCCTTTGTCCTACTTTTAGTTGACAGCATTATACTCTTAAATAGGAAACCATTTAAGGAAAAAAAATAGAATTACTTTTTTTTAAAGATGTAATGCTAAATTCTTGAGTATCTTATTTACACTGTAAGATAAAAAAAAAGCTGCACATATGATTTGATGACAAAATACTTTCACAATTGGAATAAAAAAACTGCAATAGTATTGCTAGATTATTGTTGCAGTATAGTTTCATGACTCAATAATAATAACTGAATTGAACACACCAAGACCAGGGTAATATATTATGACTTGTTCGGCAGGTCTTTTAAATAAAATCTATCAATGTACATCATGTGGATGATAATTTCAACTGTATCAAAATAGTAAGTAGAACACAATATTTCTTCGTTGCTTTGGCTCGCAATGTATCTCCTTCTAGGACTTGAGTTTTGATACTATACTCTGTAACCTTGTCCAGATCCTTGCAGGGTTAGGTAAGGTACCTCACCAGAGCGACAGAACAGGACACACGAGCAAATCAATCCAATAACCTGGAAACAATTCAATTTAGCTATTAATTCATTAATTCAATAAAGCTACAGTCTAATTTCTGAGATAGTGTTACAATAAAATTCCTGTTAACTTCTGTACTGAAATTTCATAAATATGTGGACAGTAACAACACAAAGTTCCAAATAAAACCTCATAGGTTGCATATCAAAACGGAGAAACTTATCCAATCCATTTTCCAGAGGTGTATCATTGTATCAAAAACATTTCAAACTCTACTCACCAATATAACTGCAAATATAATAGCAACAACAGCAAGTACAGCCAAAGAGTCTCGCAGCAAGTCTTCCAGTTTGTCATAGCAACCCTATTAAGAAAATTTTTAATATATGTGAGCTCAATGTGACATCATATACAATGCAAACATCTCATTCTTAGACATTACAATGGTTACACGCTCTCCATAATTTTCAAAGAAATTTTCTATGATTTGATGCCACTCAAAGAAAATGCTTTGTCATGATGGAAGTGCTGCAGAATATTTTTCTTCAGACATTACCTCTTCATAAATGTATGGATTGTCCACATAACCAGATATTTTTGTGGTGCAGTTATTTTTGTCCTTGCAGCAGCTTTCTGGTACACTGTGATTCTGACGGTAAAACTCAAATCTCTCCCAATCTGTGTAGTTGTGGCGACCACAGCACATCAACTACAATAGAAGTGGAACATTAGCCAACTTGGGTAAATTGTACAACAGAACAATAAGTGTTTTCTTCATATCTCAATATTTCTCAAAAATTAACATTTGACGTGTATGTTACACAGATACATTATTTTTACAAGGGCTGAAATGCAGGTGTATCTTTAAGATAAGATTCATCACAACGCTTTGCCTTACCTGATCCTGAACGTAATCCATCTCATCTCTATAAGTGGCGTCATTGGTGTAGTTCTTCATTACTGCATCAAAGCCATCTTTCAGGGCATCACTCACCTGTAATCAACCCATGAAAAGGTGATCATAACTGTAAATGGGGGAGACAGACATTATTTTGAACTTTTTTTGCTTATGTGAGTTAAAACAAAAATAGATAAAAACTAAGAGCAAAAATGAAAACACTTGTAATTAAGGTCTATCTATATACTTTAAAATAAATTCTGAAAATTTATTCATGAACTTCGTAAATCCAGTAATATTTTCAACACTTTCATCTCAAAGTATATTTCAGAAAGTGCTTCCTTACATCTGCTCTGTATACATATGCCAGTGTGCCAGAAACTACTTCCGCAACTAGAATTACCAGAATCAAACTGAAGAACTGAAAATCAAAAACAGCATTTAAGTCAAGTAAAATGGAATTTGTCAGTGAATTGTGCAAGACTTTTATAATAAATAATAACTATAAAAGGTAAAAGAAATTAAAATCAGTCAAAATGTTTCAAAACACTACCTTGACATAATTGGTCCTCTGGCCTTCAAATTGCAATGGAAGGGCAGAATATAAAATATTGCAACTACATTCTAAAATGGCATCTATCACAAAAAATTGCAAAATCAGGGTTTTCATGCCAGTTTTACCTTTTTTTAATTTTCAGAAATCTATTTGTTTCTACTTTTTTTTTTTTTTTTTTTTGAAAGGGGGATCATTATGATTGAAAATATGGGTCATTTTCTAAATCACTCCAAAGTCACTATGATAATAAATGAAAAGACAATCATGAAACTGAGGCAAAGGACCCAAAGATCTATGAAACATTGCTGGAAAATATGAAATAACCCACAGACTTACTGTTGCCAGTAGACATTTGTGTTCTTTGCAGGCAGCAATACATCCCAGCAGACCCACCAAGAACATGAACACACCTGCTGCAAGGGTGATCACTGCAGGAACCAGCGTGTATTTCTGGTCTGCCAAGTCATCATAGTGTTTGTATGTGACAAAGATGTAAGACCCAAGGTAAAATAATCCTGCTGCTGCTGCCTGGAAATATACAGAGAGAACAATACAGTTAGGATGCAATAAATGTCTTCATTTTAGGGAAACAAAATTGCAGTTAGCTGTATTCATGCAATACAAACAAGAATGGTGATTAAAGCTGCTGTGATTATTTATGTAAGCAGACCTTGAGTACGTGCAGTTGCATCTAGAAATTTTCCACAATTTACTTGTGTCACAACTTTCTGTCGTGCCTCAGCAAAAATGCTTAAGTGTGCATTTTTGTAGCCTTTCATCATATCAATTTCAATTTTGATATTTCTGCCAAATAAATACACGTTTTTCAATTGAAAATGAAAGAGGAATTAAAAACCTGACTAGCCTTCAGCTTCTGAACTAAATGTTTGTGAATCATTATATTACTTTCACGAAAAATGCAAACATGTGTACATATTTATGTATGGAATTTGTAAGAGAGAGAGAGACAGATTTACAAGTTAAGTCTTGAATTTGGTATATCTTATGATATTAATAAGTCCCTTTAGGTCCAATTCTATAAAAAGCTGCTTTTAGAGCATGTGAATTGTGGGCCAACTTCATACTCTCAATGTGAAATCAAACTAAAAATACAATCCCAACAACATGTAAATGTCACACATTTCGGACATTTCGATGATCTAGGATGATCAAGGTCAAGTGAGAAATTGTAAGGAAAAATTTATCTACAAGTCTAGAAGGGACAGCAACATGAAATATATGAATGAGGCTTTTAACAAGCATAACAACATGTATTTATGAAACAAAATTCCTTCACTTCAAAGGAAACCTTTGTCCTTTTCATATGCAAGTTACTCTGCTTTATAAAATCTTAAAACCAAAAAATTAAACCGTGTTCGTACTAAACTTTCTCTGACAATAGGTAAGGGTTAAAATTAAAGGTGACCAATTTTGACTCATTTTTGAAAATCCAGTCTTCACTCAAATTGGTATTTATTAGAACATGCATGCAACCTTACGATCTGATCTGAACGAGCTACCTCAAAATCTGTAACTGTACACAGTATATAAATTTAAGGAATTATAACGTTTTTGATTGCTCTTTCACTTTTTTGTAGTCTTGAGTTCATGTTTTTAACATTTCATTTAATATCTTAATCATACTACCAATCAAGTTGTCACACTAACACTAGTAACAGGCTATGTTTACAAATTTACTTCAAACAATATTCAGCACAGAACTGAAAATCATTCTCTTAGGTCTTACACCTACCCAAAAAATTAAACTCAAAATAATTAGAACGCTTTTGGCTGTAACACTGCAGGCGCCCATGATGTCTTGGAATTCCTCTGAAGAGTGTTCTTCAAAAAAATCACGTTTGGTTTCACCACAAGACCAAGTATTCAATGCGCGGTTTCAACTTGTTGCTGACACATTAGCCACTGTCCCGTGACTTTGACGTATCACGTGATAATTACTCTCTATTTCTAAAAAAAATATGATTTCCAACAACACGACAAGCTAATCTATATCATTATTATGATATTATAGTATAAAATATTTGAAAGTCTGCTTTATTTGGTTTAGTTTAACTCTTTTGGGGTGCTCATTGCTATTATCATGATTTTTTTTCATTTATATTGAGAGTATGTATGGGTTCGCCCTAACTAGTTCACGTTTTCCACCTTGGCGGCCATATTGGCAGAATAGCTGGGGTCTTTCAGAAGCCGGCACGATGCTTTCTGCAAAGATTACAACATCACTGGCCAGGCACTTGCCACGGACACTATCTCAGGTAGATGAGGGTTTTTCTGCGAATGATGATTTAATGTGTCAACCACTAATTTAATGAGCAACCTCTTGTGCCACTTTCAAAAACAGCCGAGAAAAATACTGGCCACAGTGTCACGACTTGGTCGGGGCATTTATTATGATATTCAAACAGACGCGCATTGCTTATGTGTCATTAAACTGTCTTTGTTTGGACCGCTGCTATTAGTTTTCAAGATCTTGGACATGTCATGCTAGATGTTGCAAATAAGCTATGGTTAGCGAAATATCTGCTAAAAGGCGGTCCCGAATGGAAAATGAAGCTTGATTCAGCCCTTACATTGAAATTTCAGTCATCTGATACCAAATCAACTGCACATTCAGATAATACATACATAAGTTAACATCAGCTATATAATGGGAAAAAAAGAGAGGTAGTGAAATATTAAGTAAGAATATTATAGAGATATGTACTTTACTGTCTCCCCCCTCCCTCAGTTTACACATCCAAGTATTGGATTTCTCCTCATCAATTCAATTATATGTTGACTTTGTTCAGTGTCTCTGCTATTTAAATTAGTTTTGCAATTTACTTACTTTATGGTGTTCATTCCTGAGATTTGACATTGTTGATGGCAAATTATAATGGGCTGGAAGTTTCTTGTCAAATGCAATATGCATGTAAAACCAGTACATTTTGGTAATAATTTATTTGACAAGCAGAGGCATTGCTGAAAGCAGAGGCATTGCTGAAAGTCAGCACATATCTGAATTTAGAATTCAGAAAAACCTTGAAAATAAAACGCCTGAAAGGAATACTGCATTTATAAATTCTTCAAATTGTAATGTATGACATAGTGCAGATCTTCAGTGATATACAGAAGCTCACGTGAACTGCCTTCTCATGTTTTTGGGTAGACGTAGCCTTTCTCAGAAGCTTGTTAAATATGCATTACATTACCACTGAACAGTATGTCTAAATTAGTTATAAAAGGGAAAATGTTTACATTTGCTGAGCTCATCTCTGAAAAAGGAAAAAAATGTTATTCATAACTGTACTTTTTATCTTGCTTATATAATTTATTAAAAGTTAATTAAAATCAATTGTTAGAATGAAACTTGTCATGTTGGGCACTCTACAGGAGGCATTCAAAATAATTAACTTTAACAAAGAACTTTTTTCAGGTATTGCATTTATATTTTATAATAAGATATTGATGATATTGTGCATTTTAATTTTTCTTCAGGCCACAAAGAATGTTTTAGCAGCTGGCCTGGTTTCATCAAGACACAGTATTTGCACAACACACAAAAAATGTGCTACAGGTGGTAAGTTGACTATAATTAGTAATATGTTCAGCTAGTGTTAATACATATAAGAAATGGGCGGTGCTACCATACCAATTCAAGCCATATTCAAACCATAGCAGATTTAAAATATTTGCATGTTTTGCCTTTGTACACATTGTGCAGGTCTCTTCCCTTTCACAATTTTCTTTTTGTTAAACTTTGGGTATTAAAGCAGAGATGATTGCAGTATTTTTTTATTTGTAAATGTTGTATTTTGATTTGCTAAGGCATAAATGTAAGGATTAATATTTAACATTCATCGTCAGACTGCTGAAGGAAGGAGACGACTACAACCATGATAAATCAAGAACACAAAGATACCAATTTATATTACATATTGATTTCAAGTATTGTATTGTCTCATATTGTAACATACTGTGTTTTTACATCTGAAGGGAGTGCTACTTCATATTTGACCCTTTATGAACAAGGCAAACTATAAGTTATTTCATTTTTGTGCTAGGTTCCACGGAAGTCTCCTCTTTGCTGGAAGATCGCATCATGGGCCAGTCCACCATGGCCAATGTAGAGGAGACTGGACGAGTCTTGTCCATTGGTGACGGTATTGCCCGTGTTTATGGATTGAAACAATGTCAGGCAGAAGAAATGGTGGAGTTTTCTTGTGGTCTAAAGGTACTGAAGGAATAACTTTGTATAAAGTTTACAAGATGACCATTATGATTTACAAACCATTTGGAGAAGTAGAGAAAGACTTGTTTATACACCCTTCTATAAAAAGTATGCTCCAAAATTGACGTTGCCTTCTGATTTTTGGCTGTGATAATAGGTTTTGCACATGTTAAAGAGAGAAGGGCGTCTTCAAATTTGTTTTGACAATGATCTTTTGGTTTTTTAAGGAAAGATTAAATGAATTAGTGGGAAATTGAAAGTTCAGTTTACAGTTTTTGATGCAGAATTTTATTTTATGTTAGGGCATGTCCTTGAACTTGGAGCCAGACAATGTAGGTGTTGTGGTGTTTGGTAATGACAGATATATCAAAGAAGGAGATGTGGTGAAAAGAACTGGGGCTATTGTGGATGTTCCCATTGGAGAAGAACTTCTAGGCAGAGTAGTCGATGCTTTGGGCAATAGTATCGATGGAAAGGTAATGTTGTAAAGAATATAAACGTGGACAATTTGAGAAAATATTGAACCCCCTTAATAACAATTATGGTATCAGTCTGCCTTGTTATCAACAGCTTTGTTTTAGGGTATTGAAACGGACAAAGTTAGAAATAAGATATTTGTTTTTAATATATTTTAAAAGAAAATGAAATGGATGTCCTGAAGATACACATTTCTATATTTAGCACTTGACTTCCAGGGTCCAATTCAATCTAAGAAGCGTGCCAGAGTGGGTCTAAAAGCCCCTGGTATCATTCCCCGTACCTCTGTCAAGGAGCCCATGCAGACTGGAATCAAAGCTGTTGACAGTCTGGTGCCAATTGGGCGTGGTCAGCGTGAACTGATTATTGGTGACAGACAGACGGGGTAAGAAGTTTTTTATGCATTTTACACTTTTGTTTTTGAAAAATTTGAATGGTTCCCAATGTTGACAATAAATTACAATAGAAAATGTCGAATGAATCAAAATATTTTTGTTTGTTTGTTTAGGAAAACTGCCATTGCTATTGATACAATCATCAACCAGAAGCGCTTCAATGAGGGCAGCAATGAAAAGAACAAACTGTACTGTATCTATGTTGCTATCGGCCAGAAGAGATCCACTGTTGCACAGCTAGTTAAGAGGCTTACTGATGCAGGTAAGGGATAGATTTTTTTTTTTTCAGAATAACTTAATGTAGACATTCCAAAGAATATTGGCACTTCTGCTCTTTTTTACTGACAATACATATAAAAAGGTTCGTTTAAAGAATAAGCAATTTCATCGTCAATGTTTTCATTTGATAGTGGTTTGAAGTGCATATTACACAAAATAAACCCATTTCTAAAAAATTATTGTATTTTACTGGCAGATGCCATGAAGTACACCATTGTGGTCAGTGCCACTGCCTCTGATGCTGCTCCACTGCAATACCTGGCCCCATACTCTGGATGTGCTATGGGAGAGTACTTCAGGGATAATGGCAAACATGCCTTGATCATCTATGATGATTTGTCAAAGCAGGTGAGAAAATGAGGATATCATTCACATTTGTGTTATTGGTAAACTGTTGTCATGAACAGAATCACAGGAGGATGTAATAACAAGGGTATAAATCCCATGAGTAAAAAGTACACTGAGGAAAATATTTTTACACATTTTCTGTATCTATAGTTTTCTTACCTAGCTAAAATTCCTCCTTGAATTAAGATTGATGTTGGTGGCATAGATAATGAAAAGACGGTGAAATTTTCTTTGTTACTCTCTTCAGGCTGTTGCCTACCGTCAGATGTCTCTGCTTTTGCGTCGTCCTCCAGGACGTGAGGCTTACCCAGGAGATGTGTTTTACCTGCATTCACGTCTGTTGGAGAGAGCTGCTAAGATGAATGACAACTTTGGTGGTGGCTCTCTGACTGCATTACCAGTTATTGAGACCCAGGCTGGTGATGTGTCTGCTTACATCCCAACCAATGTGATTTCCATTACTGACGGGCAGATTTTCTTGGAGAATGAGCTGTTCTACAAGGGTATTCGCCCTGCCATTAATGTGGGTCTGTCTGTAAGTCGTGTAGGCTCTGCAGCCCAGACCAAGGCCATGAAACAGGTAATTTGAACTATAAGAAATGGGATTAGTGTGTTGAATGATGTCTACAAAGGTTTTTAAAAATAATGTGAAATGAGAGATGATTTTAAATTATCAGTCTGGATGAATACAAAATGGTAATGGTATAGTTACTGAATTGTTGGTTATTTAAACTTCTGTATTTTATTAATTTCCTTATGCTCTTTATGTTCATACAAAAGCACACAACTATGAATTTCTAAAATTAGTCAAAAAAGAATAGAAGTTGGTGGATCAGAACAATTTGTAAATATGAAAAATTGTATCTATTTTAGGTGGCTGGTAGGATGAAGCTGGAATTGGCCCAGTACCGTGAGGTTGCAGCCTTTGCTCAGTTTGGTTCTGATTTAGACCAGTCTACACAGAACTTGTTGAATAGAGGTGTGAGGTTGACAGAATTGTTGAAACAGGGACAATATGGTGAGTTTGAGCAAGGTGACATCTAATGTAGGATATATATATATTTGTTTCGCAAGATTGGATAGTGCATTTTGTCTCTTCACAAATTGATTTAGTCGTATCAATAAATGTAATATGTATGTGTATCGCAATGTATATTGGGAAGAATATTAATTTTTTGTATATGATTGTGTACATAAAGGTAAACTGGATTTTTTTCTAGTGCCCATGGCCATCGAAGAGCAGGTAGCAGTCATCTATGCTGGTGTGAGAGGACATCTTGATAAAATGGATCCATCTAGAATCACGGCCTTTGAGGAGGAATTCCTTGCTCACATTCGTGCCACACAGAAAGAGCTCCTAACTGTCATTAAAAATGAAGGCCGAATCACTGATGCCACAGATGCAAAGTTAAAAGATGTAGTCACAAGTTTCCTAGCAGGGTTTAAGTAGTAAAATATATTGAACTATATGTTTATTGATTTGCTTTAATAGAAAATTGGAAAAGTACAAGTTTGAGAGGGAAAACAATACAGATGTGATGTACCATTGGTTTGAGTGATCTTGCTTTGCACAAACATGGATATAAAATTCACAAATCCACAAAACTTGGAAATAAAAACTATTTAGACTCTGCATAGAAGAAATCTTTGACAAGTGGGCAAAGCTCTACATTAGTATAAGTGTGGTCCAGTTGTATGTTACAAAAATGATGTGCCGTTCTTAATAAAATTGTTAACCAACACAATAAGCTGGTGCTCAATTCTTTTGAGATATTTTCCTGCAGAAAATAGTATTGTCAACAGTTGCCAATGTATATATTTAGGATTGGAGACGGTCAAATGTGGAAAATACTGCAGTTGGGCATCAGTCTGTTGGAAATGGTATTGAAGAGAATAAAATGAAGTTTAAAAAATGTCTACTAGTAAGTGTTAGAAAATGGCATTCACAATGGAGAAGTTTCAACTTCAATTCTTGTTATTAAAAAGATCGATATTCTGCTACAGCAGTTTCATGGTTTGATGAAATCTTTCAAATTTGGCTTTGGTATTGATCTGCAAGATACAAAACTGCAACAAGTTAACTTTTACACAACTAAGTCGTGTCACATTTGGCCCAATTTTGGGGTTTGGTGTCTTTTTGCAGGTATGGCATTAGTCACAAGGTAATGGTTTTAACCTTGTCAAACTTGTCATTAAAGCTGCACTACTCTTGCAACTTGGTGCTTGGAATATGTTAAATAACATTAAAAGAAGAAAATATTAAGACCAAGTCTTTCGGACTACTGGATAGAGTGTATTGCATGATTGAGATAAAAAATAGCTACAAAATCGGGGCTGCTGCAGCTCTTTGTAAAGTGTTTTCTGTCTCATCATTTGATCATAGAGTGCATCTAAAACCAAAGGATAAAAAGTAGTAAAAGAAATACCAGGTGTAAACTTCAGAGCTGACCTTTGCCAATATTTCCCCCATCCATTGGAGAATATGTGATAATATTTATTGCAAATGAAGAATATGAGATAACTTTCTGTCAAGGGTAAAAACAAGCGGAAAAACTTCCACGAATATAAGTTGCAAGAGAAACAACGTAGATTCAGTGCATAATATTTAAAAGTACTCTCTATGGTATTTACCTACCTAAATGAATTTTCTTGGTGGGGGGGGGGGGGGATCGGGATCTACTCATGAGTTGATGCTGGACTCATCTGCTCTTGGAAACCATGTTTAATATTTTCAGTTTTAAGTTTCAAATTGTGACAGATCCGTAGCTTCACACAGAAAATAAACCTTTGGGGTAAATTTTCACTCGTACAATATACTATCAATCTATAATATTACAAGTACACAAAGTTTTAACTTCTGAATACGCCATTTCTATTTTACTGGTTGGTCCATGATTGGCTCATAAATATTTTAAAAATCAATTAAAAATTATTATAGGAATTAATTTTCCGAAATTCATTTACCACTAGCAGGTGTATAATAATGACAACGTGTATTAGATTTGGCATGAGCACACTTCTACAAATAGATTCTCATCAGTGCACTCACAAGTACTGTGCATTGAAATTTTTTACCTCAAAGAACCAGTTAATGCTAACTGGCAATTTGCTGTTGCTTTTAATATGCCTGTGTGTGTCATAATTCCATCAATATGTTCAACAAGTGTAGCTATACATACCAAGGAGGTAGCCAGGCTTCTCTGATCTTTTATTCATTATTTTCCCTTTGTACAAATCCTCTTACATAATTTCCAAATGTTGCATAGCTTAAATGTTTTATCAAAGCATTTAAAACAAAGTTGCTTAAAAATGAATAAATATAAAAAGGGATAATATATACAGTCATTACAGAAGTATAAATGTTACGATAATGACTTGTATTTTTACAGGAGTATTAATACTAATATCTGTATACCCTGCTTTTTCAGCGAGTACCAAAACAATTACTGGACCTTACTGGGTTTTTACTACATTTTGTCATGGCTTTAGAGTACCCTCAACCAGGGTCACGCATTAATTTTTCAATAGATATTCATGGCTTTTTCTCCAATTCTATCCACTTTTCTGTACATAAAATCCAAGTGATAATTAATTTACAGGGTTAGTCACTGTTGATGTTACTACTTAGACACTGGCACTTGACAAGACACTGACAAGTCCCTCTGACAGTAATCAAGGCAGTCAATGCATTGTTCTACTATGCAGTGTGACCCATACGCAGTTTAAGGAAAACCTTTCTAATGACTTGTTTGCAATACAGATTTTGGATTGAGCATTTAGCACCTAGGTGTTAGATGTGCGAAAACAACAGAATTCACCTGTGGGCAGCAATTATTTGTTCATTCTGTTCTGTTACTTCAGCATGGAGGTCCAGCGAGAATTTAAGCATAGAGGTGACTTCATCACTCAGCTGGCCTCTGATAGAGAGTAGTTCTAATCAAATATCTTTCTTCATGTGTAAATCTTAATTTCACAAATTGAGATTTTGGTGTCGGGGATCACAGTCATGTATAACGTACATACCACAGTATTTTCTTTGTTTTTATCCATTTAATAAATTTTCAAAATGTGTCTCAAATATAATAAACCAAAGTAAAGTCAACAAAAGGCACTCACTGGTTCATTCTTTACCTAAAAATATTGTTGTACGAGGCTTCAGGAGTAAAGTTTTAAATTCGAAAAAAAAAAGGGGAATAAAAAAAGAGTTCATTAATAATGCAAAACATTCCATCTGAGATAGAACAAAGCTTACTTTGACAATAAATCATAAAGTAAGATTGTTCAATGACAAAAATATTTCAATTGTGTACAAATACACAAAGTCTTCTTTGTAAACATATAAAACTATCTCCTAAAATACATCCAAAACAAGGTTTTTGCCTTAACAACTTAAGTTTGCTGGGCAAAAAAAGGCTATTCATCAGAAATTATCAACTGTCAGCCCAGTCTACCAAATGTGATACTTAAATGTAAATGAAAATACACTCTGAAACCCTCATCTGCTGCATTATTTTACATGGCAAAAAGGAATAACATATGGCTTCTTACTTTGCATGTGAGGTCACTGCAAAAGCAATAGCTTAATGCAATTATACACCATTTACAGCAAATACTAAAATAAGCACAGCATTGGACTGGTGTACAAAGTATATACACTTGTGGTAAAAAGATATCCCACTTTGCAATAAACTTCAGAAATTGGGGGGGGGGGGGGGGGGGCATTTCAGGCATTTTATCAAAACTTCCAAGAAAAAATTTCAAGTAACAACAGGTTAACCAGAATGCAGACTTATACTCAAATGAATACATTAAAAATTTGTCACACAGCAACAACAGTTCTGAGAAATAGAGGCTAAACATGCATTTCTTTTACATGTTAATATTTACACTATTTACAGTATTGCTATTGAACTGTGATTTGTGAATCGTACAATGCAAAAACAACTTATCTGTACATGTCTAACAAACTAATTCAACTATTTTTACACAGTGGTTTTGTATCATCAATCCATTGAGCTAGCTAGTTAAGTAGCAGTAATTGTTTGAACTTCAGTTCTATACTTGGTATAGACAGTTTTTTAACAAAAAATTAAAATTGTTTATGAACTTTCTGTCCTTTTAAATACATTTATCCTCTGAAAAAAGTTTTGTATTCGTCTTGCCCTGTTTCTTTTTCTGTTTCTTTTTTCTAAAGCAATCATTGCCTCTTTTTCCTTTCTCCTTATTTCTCTAATAAGCGAAGAGAAAGTATCATCAACATTAGTCCTTAAGGCAGCTGAGGTTTCATAAAATGGACAATCAAACTGCTGGGCTAGTTGACGCCCTTCTTCAGTGCTAACCTGTGAAAGAGAGTAAAATATCACTCTTTTCAATGGTAGTCTATAATTAATGTCACAAATTCCACATCAAGTGAGATCAAATGACCACATTACTAAGTATGCAATGTGAACAAGGTCTTCTATCTTATTACATTCTTTAATTTTTTCTGTTGCTTCTCAGTATAAAATGAAGTTGAAATTAGAGGCTGGCATGAACATTAAGTGATCAATATCAGTTTTCTTAAATACATCCAAATATAAAAGTGCTACTTTTTAAGTCTCTGAACACTGGTCACAGAAAAAATGATGTTAAATTCTATGGATTATTTTATACTTGGCAAATAAACATGATGATACATACCTTTCTCAATTCTTCCAGATCACATTTGTTAGCAGCTAAAACACAAGGGATATCATCCCTATTTCTAACTCTGTCGATCAGCTGTTTGTAAGCAATAGCCTCTTCAAAACTACGTCTTTCTATCATGGAGTAACAAATAATGAATCCTTCTCCTTCTCGCATGTACTGGTCTCTCATAGCAGTGAACTCTGGCTATTGATGAGAAGAAAAAAACATTTTATAGCTACTCGCAGTTAACTAGCTCTAACATTATAATATCCTTAAAGTGTGCATCAATTTGTAAAATTAATAATTAAATTAACAATTATTAGACTGGGTTCCCATGCCTGGATCGATCCATCTGGATCGGTCTAACTCCCCAGGGAGATAGATAGATCCAAATATCTGTGGGAATGTTCCCTTAAATATCAAAATGATGGTAATGTCTTGTGCTTTGAACTTATAATGCTCATACATGTCAATTATATTAGTTTTATATAAAAATATATCTATATTCAATTTTTTTAAAAAGACTGCTTTTATGGTTGAACTTACCTGCCCAGCAGTGTCCAATATATCTAGCTGTGCAGCCTCCCCATCGATAACAGCTTGATGCTGATAAGCATCCTCTGAAAACAGTACAACAATATAGTATTGTAACTTCATAGCTGTAATTGAATTGTGTCCTCACTCAACAAAAGTAGCAGCCTCTTCATTTCAGTGCTTTTCAAAGTAATAAACATGGCTATATTGTATCATCAAAGGGGTTGAACTCCCAAGGAAGAGGTATGTAGAGTACGATGATAGTTTTGGTATTTTGTCTCTTTCACACAGAGTACATTTGAAATAATATGTGAACAGAGTAACTACATCTGGCTTTCTTTGTCCAAATCATGCCCATGAAATATAACACGTGCTGAGCTTACTTACCCATATGCCCTGATTTGGTGAGCATTTCAATGCACAATAAAATCTAAGTTTTGACCTTCAGCAGATGTTCATCAATGACATGTGATCTAAACTTTCTTCATATCACACACACACACACACACACACACACACACACACACACACACACACACACTTACCTATGGTTGGATCATGATAATCCAAAAAGCGGTGGCAGACAAACTGCATAGTTAAAGCTAAATAAAAAAGAAATGAGGCAAGAATGATTAGAATGTGTATAATTGCAAGTTCATACTGTAAAATGCTACATATGTACCACATGAATTATATTTTTCTTTTCAAATAAAAAATCAGAAGGAAGTATCTACCACAACAAAGTTTTTTGTTTTACTTTTCATTTATGTCATTTAAAAAATGTAGACATTTCAGTCTTCCATTCAACAATTAAAGGCATGTCACAGGTCTCAGGATATTTTGTGAAACATCAACCACTCATGAAATTCCATCAAATTTGATTTAGTATCAAAATATGGCTAAAACAATGAGTTCATAACAAAAGCTTATGTATAATAAAAGAAGCATTGTGTAATATCACAGAGCATGTTGTGGCTAACTAATTACTGGGGCAGTACATCACTGCTGGTGATGGAATCCATTGGTTTTAGTGATTCTAACAACTGGGAGGGTTTCTGGGAAGTAGCACAGAACGGGAGCATAAATAAATAATTTAAACCAAATAAATAAACTGGTTGCATTTCACACCAAAATGAATCTTACCACCAGAGAATTGGGGTGAAATGGATACTAATATTTTGAGTGAAGTCAAGTTTTAAAAGAGAATCAATGAAAAAAATTGAAGCTTGAGTTTCATGATTCAAAATATGTCCTTCAAAATATTTTTCTTTCAAAAATAAAAATTAATTTCGTTAGTCAGTACTGTAGTTTTCAAATATTTTTTGGTCAGCTGTTATGGTTAAAACGTCCTTTAAATATCATTTTTCATATCAGTGTAACCGCCTACATACATAATTTTAGCCTTCCTCTTTCTCGGCCCCTCTTTCTTAGTCATATTTTCTGTCACAAGGCAAAATGTTACTACGATGTGAATTCACTTTACCTATTCTATTATAATCCATAAACTGACTTACTTTCCTTTAAGTGGGATAACAAACCTTCAGCTAAATGTCTAAATCCAAATTATTAGACCAGTGACTGATAAGATAAACTTTCTCATTGTCAGATCTAAGTATAATTTCGTCTTACCGCTCTTTCCAACACCTCCATCTCCCAATATTACAACTTTGTACACTCGTACACCTGGTTTCTGTTGTGAGTTAGTCGCTTGTGGTGCGCTCATTGTACGGTTTGTTGAATCTTATCAATTGCGTTACAGTTATTAGCTACATTTATACACCAAGTCTATTTTTGACAAACACAATAACCGGAAACGATACTACTTTTGACTGAAGGTGTCGCTTTATTACAAGAGAGCCTAATGTTACTGAACAAGTAACGTCAACTCCAGACGCAGAGTGCTATCTGGTTTGTTGTCTTTTCACGTCCCCACACAGCGTTATTCCCCTACAACGTTACATATCACTGCATCGTTACTTCCCTAGGAATATTATTATTATTATTGATATTGGCCTACCCATATGTTCAGCACTCCCCCACAACTTTGCTCCGTCCCATTGGTCTTTGAATCAGCCCGTTTGAATGGCGATTACCACTTTTGGTTCCCAGTGTTTACAGTAAGGTTTTTAAATGTCCATGTCGCGTGTTTACAAGCTGGGAGTAACGATATGGGGGAGTTACGGTGCGGTGACGTAAGGATGTATTAACGTACCCGAGTAAAAAGAGAACGAATCAGTTATTGATCACAACCTCTACACATAATCAAGGTTATACAACACAAAGCTCTAGCTAAATAGCTGTGTTGTTTCGCTGTCGTGTGTCTCTGAAGGAATCGGTCATAACATCGGTGATTTCACGCTCAGCTGATGACAGGATTTCCTTACACATTGTTGTTTTATGAAAACAATACTGTATTTCAGATATTTAAATCCCGGAATTGAACGATTTGTATAGTTTACGTGTATGGGAGAAAATACTTTGTAGGCCTACCGAAGTTGAAAAGGGACTCGATAGTAACGCACAACAACCCGTTTTCTTCACCCATCAGAATCTGTGACGAAGAGCAATTTTTTGTTTTTCTCTAGTGTGTGTGCCGTAAATGATCCCTGATATGACAAAAAAAAAAAAAAACATGACAACATTTTTCTGAGAGCCTTCTTTTCCATAACGTACAGCAGCAAAACAGACTGGTATGTCTGTGCCGCAGATTTAAGAGCTGTTTGAGCGTCATTTTTCAAATAAGATTTCAAAAGTTTAAAATACACAGCAATGTTTGGAAACACAAAATTGTTTGTTATAATTGTAATCCAACTGTAATCCAACACATGAGAATAGAGGGCCTATTTTGACAAAATTTCAAAGATGATAACCCATTGTTGTTACCCAGTATCGTGGACGTGCAGATATAGGCCTACATATCACATATTGGCCTACCAGTATAACGAACATACCCATTCTATAATAATAATAATAATAATAATAATAATAATAATAATAATAATAATAATAATAAATAAATAAATAAATAAAGATTATTAGAACTTGTTTCCATCCCACACAAATCAAGTAAGATTCTGAGTAGAAACCATTCTTTCTCTGTGTTTTAAATAGGTTTCTAGGTATTGCGCCACAGTAGTGACAATGTCCATCTCTCTAGAACCCATAAGCAAAATAATTCTTTTTCACTGTACCCTTCAAGTGATATAACATACTCTAGCTTCATACTCATTTGGAGAATGAGAAACAATAAGAGCAAACGTCCGGTCAATATAGGCCTACCTATCGGCCTAACAGCTAGCCTTACGGTAATATCTATGACATGATATCAATGAAAATCTTGTCTTATTTTACGGATTTTATTACGACTGCAAATGACTAGCGGACGATACACGAGGCCCTTATTTAGGCTACAGTGATATGAATAATGTTGAGTTTGGGATATTTTCTCCACCAATGTGACAACACCTGACCCTCTCACATAAGTAGGCCTAAAAATTCACCCCCATTTCAACCGCCCCACCCCCAACCCACAGTACAAATTGGACTTTGTAATGCATTCAATTTGATGAAACGGATTTAGACTTGGGATGTAGCTCATTCTCCGTCCACGAATTAATAACTTATTACTGACAAGACTGTAGGAAGACGTTGACAGTTGCCTCCATCAATCTTTATCTCGAATGACGTGCAATACCTATGCTATTAGCTTATAAACGTGCTCGGTTGAGAAGTTATGGACTTGTTATGCATTGCCAGCTGCCAAAGCTTAAATGCCAACAAATGACAGAAATGTCTGCACACTGTGAGACTAAGAGACTACAAATTAATTTAGCAATATACTGCTATGAATGTATATTTGTACTTTATCAAAGCGCCAACAAACATGATGTATGAGCTGTGAAAAATGAGGATTTTGAAACAGTTATCTTAAGCGAAAAGTTCAGTTGGGGATTTCAAAGATCAAATCTATGAATGGCGAGTAATAAATAAGCCTACTTTCAAGTATTAAAATAAGCTCAAGTCGATTGACTGGACTCGGTGACGATTGAGCGATATCTTTATCCGATCAGATTAGTTTTCAAATTGGCCAGGTGACAAAGAGAGATCGCTTCAATACAATGCTACAAGAATTTTTAATCTGTAGCTAAAATGATGGGCAGAACATCTTTGACTTAAACGTCAACCCTCCACTAGGCTTTGTTCCCCCCCCCCCCCCCAAAAAAAAAAAAAAAAAACAAATCTGACAAAAAATCTGAGAGAGACAACTTTAATTAGGTGCAGAGGACCTAGACATGCTTGGTTGTGATAACGGGCATCGTATGAGAAGAACACAGGCTAGGCAAGAGACCAGAGGAAGAGGGGAGGGGGGTCTAGAATTAAAAATAAACATTATGCCAAAATGTCCCGTCCTTTAGACTACTTTCAATACGAAAATGACAGTTAGTCTTGAACTTCTAATGTGACGAAACCAATAGAAGAAAGAAAATCTTCATCTTATAATACCCAGAACAATAACTCTTCACATCAGCCTAGATTAATCTCGCTTATAGTCCATATGTTTGCTTTCGGAAATCAAACCAACCAATTTTGTATTTACACGTGTTGTCGCTCTTTTTAAAATTACCATGAAGTTGAGTTTCTAACACAATTGTTTATATTAGAACCAAAGCTGTCAAAGTTCTCCTAACTAAGATTTTTTAATGTGTTTAATTTCTTTAACATCGTTATCTTTACCTTAGTGCCCAAAAACAATTCTGATAAAAATACTGTATGGCAGTGAGTTTAAAGTTTTCTTTTTAAGAAATAAATTTAACATTTGCCCTATTTAACTTTAATTTTTTGTTTTATATATCTCACGGTAGAGCATCAGGTTCGATTTATATAAAAATAAAAAATCGTCAATTCACAATCATAGGAAATGAAAAGTGGCTTTCACGGGTAACGGAAATACCCAGTGGGACCCTCTAGACGGAATTTCGATCTGCCTGGTTTTGGTGGTTTGCTTCTCAAGACAACTGTGACATACGTGTGTAACTATGTACATAAACGTTTGGAGGTCTGTAATTTAGGGTCAGACCAGCAAAATTTGAAACTATTAAAACTGAAATGCCGCTATTATTACGACAAAACCACATATCCTTATCACGATACAATCTGTTCGGTCTGTTGTCGTGATAACTAGAACCAACCTCCATATGCATCATAAACATGCCTCTACCGTTGCAAGCAACAGTACATGTAACTGGAAACGATAGAGGCTTATACTGTTGATAAAGGTTAGTTCCAAGTAATCTCTGCATCTCGGTGTTTATTGGTCTGTGCTTCCGAACGAATTAGATTTATTAGTAGACGTACTTGTTTTTAACATTCATGTTGACAACACCAAGGCACGCATAGTGACGTTTATTAGTGAACGTAAAGACCTGTGTGCAAGCGATACTCTTGTAAGTATGCCTATGAGGTCGACATTTTACAGATATGGCGTTTAAAAAGCCATTGACTCTATATATACCGTCATGCAAAAGAAGTATTTGCTTCAGATGTTTGATATTTGATTTATTAATGTAATTTGAATGTTACACATTTGGACAAACCTAAGGATGTGCGCCGAGACCAACAAGGGATTTGGAAAATAAAGCAATACATTAATGCAGTCAATCACAGTCACTCTATTTCATTTGGCTTCACTTTTCTGAACTTCAGTTCTTTTTTCGTTGCAAATACGTAATGTAAATAACGTTGAATGATTGAATGTTTTTTAAATTATCTTAATTTGATGGCTGTACCCCTTTAAAGTAAATGCTGGCAACATGACTGAGAAGTTTCATAAATGAAAGAATCGTGCAGCTTATATGCACTTTTGAAATGCCATAGCTTACTGACACGCAAAATAAAACTTTGGTTTACTGCAGTATTTACTGTAGCAAACAAACGTAGAAGTGAACGGAGTGCATGCGTGACGGACTATCTGTTGGTGCCAGCTAGACTAGCCAGGTTAATCATTCAATCTATTGTCGTTTTAGGTCTATAAACAATAGTCCATATCTCCCAGTTTACGTGTATGGCACTTTTTACTCCAAATTTGTTTAAACCAACATCAATCATTTTTTTCCTTCTGGTCAGCACTGCTAATAAGCTGACTCAAAGTAGCTCCGCGGTCTAGGGATAAAATGTAATATATCACAGTCATTTGGGATATGCTTGCAATCATTTGATAATGTGTCCAGGATTTTATTTCTGAACGATCTTTACTCAAAGGAATCAAAGTGTAATATGCAGGTAAATTAGAAGTTCGTCAGCTGACATGTAGGATCTTTGAGTGTGAAATCAGGTAAGATATGATAAGATGAATTTGTGTGATGTAACGGGACAGGATGACGCCCAGACTTGGGAACATGCCAAGAGCTCCCATTACAGATAACACAAAATAAACCAACATGACCCTCCTTCCTTCCTGAAGTGTGTCTGTAAATCTGCTACCCTTATTGAGACGAACGAAGCTATTTATTTATTTATTTATTTATTTATACATGTCTTTTTTTTCTTTTGCAAAAAAAAAAAAACGTTTAGAAGCTTGTCGTAAAATTCAAAGGGTTTATTTTAGATGCTTTTTTATCAAATGGCTCATATTTATTTACTCTCCGATATATTGTTAAAAAGTGTATTGTTTCTAAATAGACTATTTTTTCTGCCTGTTTTTCTAGCTATAATTTATCCCGTCATGAATTACAGCTCGAAAAACATGTTTGGTTTCTTAACTTTGGCTTTTTCACTTTTTTTATTATCATTAAACAGGAGACAACGAAAAATTTATTTCAGTAGTTTTATTTTTG